TTAATGGATGCACCGTGAACATCGCCAATCTTGAGCTGCAGGAAATTGATTTTAAAACAGCCGCACCTGGACTGGTACGAGTTCTTGTGGCCATCGCTGCTCTCTATGAAGCATTATTATAATTTACAAAGATGTACCAAGGGTGTAATAAAAATAAGAAGAATCCTTGCATTTGATACAGCGTCTCGTCATGTCGTTGAAACGTCTCAAAGCGTTTCACAGAATATATTGTAAAGTGCATCGCACACTGTCCTGGACCAAACCCCGTACCCCCATCTCACCAGTTCCGGCCCAGGCTCCACTGGCTCCCCATTTCCGAATGGATCGACTTCAAGATCCTCACACTCGTGTTCAAATTCCTTCGCTCTCTGGAAACTCCCTCCCTCTCCCCACCTCCTCACTCCCCAATCCACCACCCGGTCAGCGCCTCCGCTTGACCGGCACTGGCCTCCTGCTCGTCGCTTGCACCCTCCGCCCCACCATTAAAGTCGTGGGGAAGGTTTATTACCCCCGGAAGGTGATCCACCAATCGCCTAACAACTGGGTTCTTACTTGCTGCTAGGTAAACAGAACGTGTGGGGTAAGGAAACTTGCCTGTGGTTTCGCCCCGCCCGGGAATCGGACCTGGGTCCTCTCGCTTGCCGGGCGAACATACTAACCACTGAGCTACAGGGCTCCACTGTACAGCACAGAAACAGGTCGTTCGGCCTCACCAGTCCGTAACACCATTTATACTTCACGCTGTTTATAGGCACCTGTTCCACTCTTCGTTCATGTGAAGGTCTGGATTCCTGTGGATTGTATCCACACGGTCTCAGAAGTCTGACCTGGATGGGAAGGAGCCAAGGCATTGACTGCCCTCTGTTGGCAATGAAAGGTGAAGACAGCAGAACACAGAGCGACATTTGCACACGGCCTTTCACATTGGGAGGATGTCTGAACTTTGGGGGGGGGGGGGCAGTGTAGGGAGTGGGGGTGTCAGTGTGGAGGGGATCAGTGTGGGTGGGTCAGTATTGGAGGGTTAGTGTGGTGGGGGGGGGGGGTGTCAGTGTGGGGGGGTCGGTGCGGGGGTGTTGGAGGGTCAGTGTGGGTGGGAGTCGGTGTGGAGGGGGCGGTGTTGGGGGGGGTCAGTGTGCGGGGATCAATGAGGGGGGAACAGTGTAGGTGAGTGTCAGTGTGGGGGATGTCAGTGTTGGGGGGTCAGTGTAGGGGGTGTGGGTATAAGGTATGTGGGGGGGTATAGGGTGTGTGGGGTTGGTATGGGGTGTGTGGGGGTACAGGATGTATGTGGGGAGTATAGGGTGTATGTGGGGGTATAGTGTATATGTGGGGGTGCAGAGGGTATACGGGGGTATAGATTGTATATGGGAGTATAGAGCATATATGGGGGGATATAGGTTGTGTGTGGGGGGCATAAGGTGTGTGTGGGGAGGGGTTTCTAGTGTGTGGGGGGGTATATAGTGTGTGTAGAGTGTGGGGGATATAGGGTGTGTGTATGGGGTGTGTGGGGGTATAAGGTGTGTATACGGTGTGTGGGTGGTATAGGTTGTGTGTATAGGGTGTGTGGATAGGGTGTGGGAGGTATAGGATGGTGTATAGGGTGTGTGGGGGTATAGGGTGTGTGGGGGGCATAGGGTGTGGGGGGTATAGGGTGTGTGTATAGGGTTTGGGGGGTATAGGGTGTGTGTATGGGGTGTGGGGGGGTATATGGTGTGTGTATGGGGTGGGTGTATGGGGTGTGGGGGGGAAAGGGGGTGTGTATGGGGTGTGTATAGGGTGTGTGGGGGTATAGGGTGTGTATATGGGGTGTGGGGGGTATAGGGTGTGTGTATGGGGTGTGTATGGGGTGTGTGGGGTTATAGGGTGTGTGTATGGGGTGTGGGGGTATAGGGTGTGCGTATAGGGTATGTGTGGGGTATAGGGTGTGTGTATGGGGTGTGTGGGGGTATAGGGTGTGTGTATGGGGTGTGGGGGGGGAGGGTGTGTGTGTAGGGTGTGGGGGGTATAGGGTGTGTGTATAGGGTGTGGGGGTATAGGGTGTGTGTATGGGGTGTGTGGGGCGTATAGGGTGTGTGTGTGGGGGTATAGGGTGAGTGTATAGGGTGTGTAGGGTATAGGGTGTGTTTATAGGGTGTGGGGGTATAGGGTGTGTGTATGGGGTGTGTATGGTGTGTGGGGGGTATAGGGTGTGTGTATGGGGTGTGTATGGGGTGTGGGGGTATAGGGTGTGTGTATGGGGTGTGTATGGGGTGTGGGGGTTATAGGGTGTGTGTATGGGGTGTGTATGGTGTGGGGGGTATAGGGTGTGTGTATGGGGTGTGTGGGGTTATAGGGTGTGTGTATGGGGTGTGGGGGTATAGGGTGTGTGTATAGGGTGTGTGTATGGGGTGTGTGGGGTATAGGGTGTGTGTATAGGGTGTGTGCGGGGTATAGGGTGTGTGTATATGGTGTGGGGGTATAGGGTGTGGGGGGTATAGGGTGTGTGTATGGGATGTGTGTATGGGGTGTGTATAGGGTGTGGGGGAGTATGGGGTGTGTGTATGGGGTGTGTGGGGTGGTATAGGGTGTGTGGGGGGATATAGGGTGTGTGTATGGGGTGTGTGGGGGGTATAGGGTGTGTGTATGGGGTGGGGGGGGGAAGGGTGTGTGTGTAGGGTGTGGGGGGTATAGGGTGTGTGTATGGGGTGTGTGTATGGGGTGTGTATAGGGTGTGGGGGGTATAGGGTGTGTGTATGGGGTGTGTGGGGGGTATAGGGTGTGTGTATGGGGTGTGTGGGGGTATAGGGTGTGTGTGGGGGGGTATAGGGTGTGTGTATAGGGTGTGTGGGTATAGGGTGTGTTTATAGGGTGTGGGGGTATAGGGTGTGTGTATGGGGTTTGTATGGGGTGTGGGGGTATAGGGTGTGTGTATGGGGTGTGTATGGGGTGTGGGGGTTATAGGGTGTGTGTATGGGGTGTGTATGGTGTGTGGGGGTATAGGGTGTGTGTATGGGGTGTGGGGGTATAGGGTGTGTGTATAGGGTGTGTGTATGGGGTGTGTGGGGGTATAGGATGTGTGTATAGGGTGTGTGCGGGGTATAGGGTGTGTGTATAGGGTATGGGGGTATAGGGTGTGGGGGGTATAGGGTGTGTGTATGGGATGTGTGTATGGGGTGTGTATAGGGTGTGGGGGGGTATGGGGTGTGTGTATGGGGTGTGTGGGGTGGTATAGGGTGTGTGGGGGGTATGGGGTGTGTGTATGGGGTGTGTGGGGGGGTATAGGGTGTGTGGGGGGTATGGGGTGTGTGTATGGGGTGTGTGGGGGGGTATAGGGTGTGTGGGGGGGTATGGGGTGTGTGTATGGGGTGTGTGGGGGGTATAGGTGTGTGGGGGGTTATAGGGGTGTGTATATGGGGTGTGTGGGGGGGTTATAGGGTGTGTGTATGGGGTGTGTGGGGGGGTATGGGGTGTGTGTATGGGGTGTGTGGGGGGGTTATAGGGTGTGTGTATGGGGTGTGTGGGGGGGTATGGGGTGTGTGTATGGGGTGTGGGGGGGGAGGGTGTGTGTGTAGAGTGTGGGGGGTATAGGGTGTGTGTATGGGGTGTGTGGGGGGTATAGGGTGTGTGTATGGGGTGTGTGGGGGGTATAGGGTGTGTGTGGGGGGGTATAGGGTGTGTGTATAGGGTGTGTGGGGTATAGGGTGTGTTTATAGGGGGTGGGGGTATAGGGTGTGTGTATGGGGTGTGTATGGGGTGTGGGGGTATAGGGTGTGTGTATGGGGTGTGTATGGGGTGTGTGGGGTTATGGGTGTGTGTATAGGGTGTGTGTGGTGTGTATAGGGTGTGTGTATGGGGTGTGTGTGGTGTGTATAGGGTGTGTGTATGGGGTGTGTGTGGTGTGTATAGGGTGTGTGTATAGGGTGTGGGGGTATAGGGAGTGGTGTATAGTGTGTGTGTGGTGTATAGGGTGTGTGTATAGGGTGTGGGGGGTATAGGGGTGTGGGGGGTATAGGGTGTGTGTATGGGATGTGTGTATGGGGTGTGTATAGGGTGTGGGGGGTATGGGGTGTGTGTATGGGGTGTGTGGGGTGGTATAGGGTGTGTGGGGGGTATGGGGTGTGTGTATGGGGTGTGTGGGGGGGGTATAGGGTGTGTGGGGGGTATGGGGTGTGTGTATGGGGTGTGTGGGGGGGTATAGGGTGTGTGGGGGGGTTATAGGGTGTGTGTATGGGGTGTGTGGGGGGTATGGGGTGTGTGGGGGGGTTATAGGGTGTGTGTATGGGGTGTGTGGGGGGTATAGGGTGTGTGTATAGGGTGTGGGGGGGGGGTATGGGGTGTGGGGGGTATGGGGTGTGTGTATGGGGTGTGTATGGTGTGGGGGGGTATGGGGTGTGTGTATGGGGTGTGTGGGGTATGGGGTGTGTGTATGGGGTGTGTATAGGGTGTGGGGGGTATGGGGTGTGTGTATGGGGTGTGTGGGGGGGTATGGGGTGTGTGTATGGGGTGTGTGGGGGGTATAGGGTGTGTGTATGGGGTGTGTGGGGGGTATGGGGTGTGTGTATGAGGTGTGTATAGGGTGTGGGGGGTATGGGGTGTGTGTATAGGGTGTGGGGGGGTATGGGGTGTGTGTATGGGGTGTGTGGGGGGGTATGGGGTGTGTGTATGGGGTGTGTGGGGGGGTATGGGGTGTGTGTATGAGGTGTGTATAGGGTGTGGGGGTATGGGGTGTGTGTATGGGGTGTGTGGGGGGGTATAGGGTGTGTGTATGGGGTGTGTGGGGTGTGTGTATGAGGTGTGTATAGGGTGTGGGGGGTATGGGGTGGGTGTATGGGGTGTGGGGGGGTATGGGGTGTGTGTATGGGGTGTGTGGGGGGGTATGGGGTGTGTGTATGGGGTGTGTGGGGGGGTATAGGGTGTGTGTATGGGGTGTGTGGGGGGTATGGGGTGTGTGTATGAGGTGTGTATAGGGTGTGGGGGGTATGGGGTGTGTATAGGGTGTGGGGGGTGTGGGGTGTGTGTATGGGGTGTGTGGGGATATAGGACTATTGACCCCGGAAGTGACGTATCACCAACAGCGACCCGGAAACAGTAACTTCAGCTCCAGACACTGACACTGAGAGCGAAACACCGTAAGAGAGTGACAGTGAGAGAGAGAGAGTGACAGTGAGAGAGTGAGAAAGAGACAGAGAGAGAGTGACAGTGAGAGAGAGACAGAGAGAGAGTGACAGTGAGAGAGAGACAGAGAGAGAGTGACAGAGAGAGTGACAGTGAGAGAGTGACAGAGAGAGTGACAGTGAGAGAGTGAGAGAGAGTGACAGAGAGAGTGACAGTGAGAGAGAGACACAGAGAGAGTGTGAGAGAGTGACAGAGAGAGTGACAGTGAGAGTGACAGAGAGAGTGACAGAGAGAGAGAGAGTGAGAGAGTGACAGTGAGAGAGTGACAGAGAGAGTGACAGTGAGAGAGTGACAGAGAGAGAGTGACAGTGAGAGAGTGACAGTGAGAGAGTGACAGTGAGAGAGTGACAGAGAGAGTGAGAGAGAGGGTGACAGAGAGAGAGTGGAGAGAGAGTGACAGAGAGAGAGAGACTGACAGTGAGAGAGAGAGTGACAGTGAGTGAGAGAGTAACAGAGAGAGAGTGACAGAGCGTGAGTGACAGTGAGAGAGTGACAGTGAGAGAGAGAGTGACAGAGAGAGAGAGTGACTGTGAGGGAGTGAAAGTGAGAGAGAGAGTGACAGTGAGAGAGCGAGAGTAACAGAGAGAGAGTGACAGAGAGAGAGTGACAGAGAGAGAGAAAGAGTGCCATAGAGAGAGAGAGTGTGACAGTGAGAGTGACAGAGAGAGACATAGAGAGAGAGTGACAGAGAGAGAGTGTATGGGGGGGATGTGTGTGTATGGGTGTGTGTGTGTGTATGGGTGTGTGTGTATGGGTGTGTGTGTGTGTGTATGGGGGGTGTGTGTATGGGGGATGTGTGTATGGGAGGGATGTGTGTATGGGGGGGGGGGGGTGTATGGGGGGATGTTTGTGTATGGGGGGATGTGTGTGTATGAGGGTGTGTGTGTGTGTATGAGGGTGTGTGTGTGTATGAGGGTGTGTGTGTGTATGTATGAGGGGTGTGTGTGTGTATGAGGGGGTGTGTGTGTATGGGGGGATGTGTGTGTATGGGGGGATGTGTGTGTATGGGGGGGATGTGTGTGTATGGGGGGGATGTGTGTGTATGGGGGGGGTGTGTGTGTATGGGGGGGATGTGTGTGTATGGGGGGGGGTGTGTGTGAATGGGGGGGATGTGTGTGTATGGGGGGGGGGTGTGTGTGTATGGGGGGGGTGTGTGTGTATGGGGGGGGGGTGTGTGTGTATGGGGGGGGATGTGTGTGTATGGGGGGGGGATGTGTGTGTGTATGGGGGGGATGTGTGTGTATGGGGGGATGTGTGTGTATGGGGGGGTGTGTGTGTATGGGGGGGTGTGTGTATGGGGGGGGTGTGTGTGAGGCTGCGAATTAACAGCAAGGAATTGCAGTGTTAAACCTGGCGGCTACAGGTTGCTCACGCTCGCACCTCGTTGCTTTCTCAGGGGTTCCTCGGTCGGGAACGATTGCCGGACGTCCACTCGCTCGGGCCATTGCAGCAGCCGTTGCCCCACTGCTCGCCTGCTTCCCGCGGAGCGAGGCCCTGCCAGGTCAGCGCGGCCAAGCCCCGTTTATAACATGCTTCATTATAATGCTGAGAGCGTGTCGTAACGAGACGTCTCGACAACGTGATAAGGCGCCTCATCAGTACATCAACGCAGGAATTATTATTGTATTGTTCGCGGCTGTTTGTGGAACGTCGCTGCACACAATTTGGTCGTTCCCTTTTGCCGACAAAGACACAGTCACTGTATGGTGCAGCGTAACACTCTTGAGACGTCCGCCTGACGTGAAAGGCATTGAATCAAATGCAAGGACTATAATATTAATAAGCGGAGGATAGGAGGATGGTTGGGAGCGTAGACTGTATGAGTTCTAAGTTCCAACGTGAGGCCTGGAACGTACAACCTTCTGACTGAGGCCAAACCTGTGGCGTTTTGGTTAGAGCGCTCGCCTCGCAAGTGAGACGATCCAGGTTCGATTCCCAGGCAGGGCGAAACGTTAGGCAAGTTTCCTTACTCCACACTCCCCTGTTTACCTAACAGTAAGTAGGAAGCTGGTTGTTAGTCGATTGGCCGATCACTTTTCTGGGAGTAATAATCCCTTAAACAAATGCGGTCACTCAATCCGCGACTGTTTGTGGGGACGCTGCTGTGCGCAATTGGCTGCCGCATTTCAGCCACAAAATATACAGTCGGTTCACTTCACAGTATATTCTGTGAAGCGCTTTTGAGACGTCTCAAAGACGTAATGAGGCGCTGTATCAAATGGAAGTATTATTGTTATTAATGGCTGTTGACTTTAAAGACGAATGAAAGGGATAGTTACACATCCAGAGCATTCTTCGCATTGGCAAGTGAGCTTTAATGCCCACGCTAGGCTCTGAGTGCAACTCTCGACACGGTCTTCACCTTCTGATTATTATTATCAATGGATTATTAATATTACCTATATTATTACTCTTATCTTGTTTTCGTAAAGAACATGGACACTCGCTTCACTCGGGGTAAGTCGGTGATACTGGAGCGAGCTATCACTCGACCCAAGACGGAGGTCGGCCTGAGTGCCTTCACCCTGCTCTTCTCTGAGATCGTGCAGTACTGCCAGAACCGGGTCTACTCTGTCTCCGAGCTGCAGAACAAGCTGTCAGAGCTGGGCCAGCAGGTGGGCGCCCGCATCCTGGATGTGCTGGTGATGCGGGAGAAAAACGGCAAGCGGGAGACCAAGGTCATCAACGTCCTTCTCTTCATCAAGGTCAGCGTGTGGAAGGCGCTGTTCGGCAAAGAGGCAGACAAGTTGGAGCAGGCCAACGATGACGACAAGACCTACTACATCATCGAGAAGGAGCCCCTCATCAACACCTACATATCGGTGCCTAAGGAAAACAGCACGCTGAACTGTGCCTCCTTCACTGCCGGCATTGTGGAGGCCATCCTCACCTACAGTGGCTTCCCTGCCAAGGTCACCGCCCACTGGCACAAGGGAACCACCCTCATGATCAAGTTTGACGAGTCTGTGATCGCCAGGGACAAAACCTTGGATGGGCGTTAGCGTGGGGGTGGGGGGATTTGGGTTTTGGTGGAGGGGGCATTAGCAGTGCATGTCGATTCTTTTTTAATGCACCTTTCCCTCCTTCCGTCCCTCCCCGAGTCTTGGAAGAATAAGCTGGTGACATCCTTTTTAAAGTGGAAACAAGGTTTTACTTTGGATTGCTGTATTCTAGTGAGCAAACCTCAACCAACACACTGTTTGTTTCCATATCGTTTAATTTGCTTTGTCCCCTGTCCAGTTCTTTGTTCCCCCCGCAGGTACTGCTTCCAAACTTTGCTGGAGCTCTCTGCAATATTAGCCCCCACCACTCCAACACACCACTCCCTTAATTCCACCCCCAATTCTTGAACTGAAGCATTCCTGTCAGTTTCTGGCATTCGTTAGCATTTGTGTAAATTAGTGACAGTTGGTCATTTTTCTTGTGGTGTAGAAAATTTGCCCCGTTGCCCGGAATCTTGTTGACTATTCCCGTGACCGTATTTCATGTCAGTTCTGAGGGTATGGGGTGGGAGGGGTGAGGGGATGGAGGCAATTCTTGCATTGGTGCAAGTCAGTCTCGTTCTGGCCTGAGACGCAGAGCTGCACTGGTGCTTACTCTCTGCTCAAGAAGCTTCTCAACAGTAAAACAACGTACAGATGAAGCTTTATTCCTGAATTGTTATTGTGACTGGCCAAATAAATAGCTCGTCACCAACCCGTTAAGGTTTTTTTTCTGTGCATTAATTTATCTCTTAAAACGAGATGGGGGTGGAGATTGGGCCATGTTAACAGGGGGCCAGTATGTCTTGTGTCAGTCACGGGGCAATTTATGGGGACCTTATCTTGGGTGTGAAATGCCGAGACCCTGCTCTATAGAAGGGCATTATATAAAGGCGAGTTGTACTTTTGGTCATCACCATCTTAAGAGACTGACAGACTTACGAAGCTGAGGTTTCCATTTATGTATCACCCCTACACGTGGAAATTCACCTGCATTGGCATGGAAGGCCCACAGAGCAGGTATGTGTTGGAGGTAATGTCTGGAGTTCAACCAGTTATAAACTACTGCTTGCTGTTGTAAGTGCTGTCTGGAGAGTTTCCCACTCCTTGTCCAGCTTGGGGTTTGGCCTGCAGAGTTAACGGGATGTCTTCCCCCAATAACCGTTCTGTGGAGGGGGGGGTGTGGGGTAGTGGCAGGGGGTGCTGGAGCAGGGAGTGGGGGAACGGGCCAGGGAGAAAGAGTCTCTGGGTAGCAGCGAGGAACGGAGATCCTGATTTTTAAAAACATTTATTTGCACTAATCTGTGAGCTCAGCCCTCGTGCTCAGCTCCCACCTCAGCCTCCAAGCAGGAACTGCCTCAGTCCAAAACATTTGTTGGGAGGATTTGCCTCAGTGGTGATTGGGAATTGAGTGTTAGCAAGTGATGGAGCATTGATAACTATTTTTGGGGTTCAAGTCAGGATTTTTTTTGATCGCTCTGTGATTAGTCTTGCTGACCATGACTGGAGCGATGGAATGTTGCTCAGTGACTATTTCTCCTCTTTGACTCAGCTTTTGACATCAGCTGAGCTATTTGAGATGCCCTTTGCAAATGGTCAGTACTGTTGTGTATTTATTAGAGCATTGATAGATCAGAAAGGTTAAGAGTTCCCCAACTAAAATAAGCACCCAGTAAACTAGCACCGAGGTGGGAAGGCTGGGACCAACCATCCCCAAGGTGTTTTGCACCCTTGGCACAGTTTCTTTGATCAAGATCTCACTCAACTCCATTGGACTATGCGATCAGTTGATGCTCAGATTAACTCATTAGTAACTAAACAAAGGGAACGTTCTGGTAATGTCAACTCTCACTGAGGAATAGCGTGGAAACCATTCGGTTTGTAACATGCGAGACTCCCCCCAGGTTCAATTGAATAAAACACAAGGTTCCCTTCAATCCTTTGCCTCTTGTCTTTCTTCCTCAACTAAACCATTTCTCAGACCGCTCTCTACCAATTTGACTGTTGGTAGCATTCTTGCCTATTAGTCAGAAAGTTGTGGGTTCAGGCCCTGCGTGGGGACATTAATAATAATAATAATCCTCGCATTTGATATAGCGCTTTTCACGTCGGGAGAGGACGTCCCAAAGCGCTTCACAGAACACACTGTAAAGTGAATTGACTGTATATTTGTGGGCGAACGCGGCAGCCAATTGCGCACAGCAATGTCCCACAAACAGTCGTAGATTGAAAATGACCAATTTATTATTGTTTTGTTTTGGAGGATTATTATTAGGCTCTGTGTGGAGTAAGGAAACTTGCCCGAGGTTTCGCCCTCTGCCGGGAATTGAACCCAGGTGTCTCGCTTGCAAAGCGAGTGCTCTAACCACTGAGCTACAGGACTCCACGTCCACGTCAATTCACTTTACAGTGTGTTCTGTGAAGCGCTTTGGGACGTCCTCCCGACGTGAAAAGCGCTATATCAAATGCGAGGATTATTATTATTATTATTATTATTACAGCTGCAGCCCAGAGGAGGGCAGTGGGTGGTGGGGGGTCACATGATAAGGGAAGGCGAGCCGGCACTGGCGGTCACGTGACAGCCCGGCCGCGAGGGTCATGTGATGCGGTTGGCGTCACGGGGTGGGAGGCAGGGCTGGGGCAGCACGTGACGGGAGCGGCCTGCGAGGTCCGGGATTGGTCAGCCCGCGGCACGTGACGGCTGCTGGTCCGGACTCCTCCTCCTCGCCCCGCCCCGCGCGGCACGTGACGGCGCTGTGACCGCCGGCGGGAGAGCGGCTGCGCGAGGACCGACCGACCGACCGGCGGTGAGGAGAGGCTGTTCGCTCGAGCCCCGGGACACCATGGCCCTCAGCCAGGCCTCAGGTACCTGGTCACTGCCCCTCACGGACACTCTCTGCCCCTCACGGACACTCGCTGCCCCTCTCGGGGTCTCGCTGCCCCTCTCGGACACTCGCTGCCCCTTCTCGGACACTCGCTGCCCCTCACGGACACTCGCTGCCCCTCTCGGACACTCGCTGCCCCTCTCGGACACTCGCTGCCCCTCACGGACACTCGCTGCCCCTCACGTGGTCTCGCTGCCCCTCACGGACACTCGCTGCCCCTCACGTGGTCTCGCTGCCCCTCTCGGACACTCGCTGCCCCTCTCGCTGCCCCTCTCGGTCTCGCTGCCCCTCTCGAGGTCTCGCTGCCCCTCTCGGGGTCTCGCTGCCCCTCACGGACACTCGCTGCCCCTCTCGGGGTCTCGCTGCCCCTCACGGATACTCGCTGCCCCTCTCGGGGTCTCGCTGCCCCTCTCGGAGGTCTCGCTGCCCCTCTCGGGGTCTCGCTGCCCCTCACGGACACTCGCTGCCCCTCTCGGGGTCTCGCTGCCCCTCTCGAGGTCTCGCTGCCCCTCGGGGGCTCAGGTAGTCGCTGGCCCTCAGGTGATGGCTCGTCGCGGCCCCTCATATAGTTTGTGAAGCTTTTTGAGACAACAACAACAACAAGAAGATTACATGTGTATAGCGCCTTTCACGTCAGGAGGACATCCCAAGGCGCTGCACAGTGACAACATTTCAGACTCGAGCTCGGGTCAGGGGGCGAGGGGAAGGGGGGGTGGGTGGCCGATGGTGGAAGAGGAGGGTCTGGAAGGAGACTGAGGAGGGGGGGAGGCGGAGTGACTGGGGGATGGAATTCCAGAGGTTGGGAGCAGAGTGGCTGAAGGCTCTCCCGCCAATGGTGGGGCAGCCGGAGCCGCTGAGCGGAGGGAACGGGCGGGTTGGTAGGGGGTTAGGAGGTGGCAGAGGTGGGGTGGGGGCGAGGCCATGGAGGGCTTTGTAGGTGAGGACCAGGATCGTGAACTGGATCCTCTGAAGGACAGGGAGCCAATGGAGTGGGGGAGATGGGGGTCCCGGAGTTTGGTGCGGGAGAGGACATGGGCTGCAGAGTTAGTTCTGGATTATCTGCAGCCGGTGGAGGGAGGAGTTGGGAAGGCCGACACGCAGGGAGTTTGCGTAGTACGTCTCGGTGACGTGATGAGGCGCTCTAGCAAATTCCAGGATTATTATTATTGTTTATTATTATCAACCAACAACTGGCTGTTATAATAATACTACAAAGTTATAGTTAATAATAATAATCCCTGCGTGTGGTATAGCCCCTTTTGTCATTGAGACGTCTCAAAACGCTTCACAGGATATACAGTATAAAATTATATTTGTATAGCGCTTTTCACTTCGGGAGGACATCCCAAGGTGCTGGATATACTGTAAAATGTAGTAACTGTGTTTTGTGGGGGAAACACAGCATCCGATTGGGCACAGCAGTGTCCCACATATTGTCGTGGAGTTAGTGGCTAATTCTATCTGGAGGATTGTCGGCCAGGACACCGGGAGAGAGAAAGTCCCTTCTCTTTTCCAAGAGCGCCGCGGAATTACAGTTAAAGATCAATGTGAAAGATCCCGCGGAGCTGTCGGAAAAGAGAAGGGAGTTTCTCTCTCCCAGTGTCCTGGTTAACCGTCCCCAGATAAAATCGCTCGCTCTCTCCATGGCTGTGACAGAGACGGCGCTTGTCAAAGTCGCAAACGATGTCCTCTCTATCTGTGACCAGGATGCCCTATGCCTCCTTGTCCTCCTGGATCTCTACTGCATTCGACGCAGTCAACCACGCCATCCTCCTCCACCACCTCTCCTCCCTCATCCACCTTAGTAGGACCACACTCACATGGTTCGAGTCCTACTTAACCAGCCACCTCAATTTCATCTCGGCAAATGGTTTCTCCTCCCGCCCCCGCTCGGTCACCTGCAGGGTTCCCCAGGGCTCCATCCTTGGTCCTGTTGTGTTCCTTATCTATGTTCCCTCTGGGTGATCTCATCCGCAGACACGGGGTAAACTTCTACATGTATGCGGATGACACACAAATCTACTTTGCCTCCTCCAGTACCAACTCCTGTGGAGTCCTGTAGCTCAGGGCTTAGAGCACTGGCCTTACAAGCGAGACACCCGGGTTCAATTCCAGGCAGAGGGCGAAACCTTTAGCAAGTTTCCTTATTCCACACAGAGCCTAATAATAATCCTCCAAAACCAAAACAATAACAAATTGGTCATTTTCAGTCCCCGGCTGTTTGTGGGACATTGCTGTGCGCAATTGGCTGCCGCGTTTGCCCACAAATATACAGTCAATTCACTTTACAGTATATTCTGTGAAGCGCTTTGAGACGTCTAGAAGACGTGAAAAGCGCTGTATCAAATGTAAGGATTATTATTATAACTCCAGGTCCACCGATGTTCGATCAGCTTGTCTGGCAGACATCAGGGCCTGGATGAGTGTAAACTTCCTGTAGCTGAATGTAGACAAGACCGAAGCCATACTTCTTGGCTCCTCAACCTCCCTGGGCTCTCCCATCGTACTCACCGAACCAGTGCGCAATCTAGATGTTCGGTTTGACCCCCAGCTGTCCTTCCTCCCCCACATCTGCTCCCTGACCAGGATAGCCTTCTTCCACCTCCGCTACGTTGCCCGCCTCCGACTGTGTCTTACCCGAAATGCAGCTGAAACCCTGGTGCGTGCGGTTGGCATGCGTTTGGGCAAGGCGAATGGAGGGGATTCCAGAGAGTGGGGATAGGTAGGATGAAAATATTAATTGGGTGAATTTTTAGGGTGAATTTAGATGAGGAGAGAATATAAGAAAATAATAAGTCTTTGCAGTTGACGTAGAGCCTTTTATGTTGGGAGGTGGTCTCTTTTTTGTTTTAGGCAAGTTCAGCAGATATTTGGGCACAGGAGGATCCCACAAACTGCCATGAAGTGAATGGCCAGTTTTATTGGGGGATTGTTGGCCTGGATACTGGGAGAATGTCCCATCTGTGGAGTCCTGTAGCTTAGTGGTTAGAGCACTCACCTCGCAAGCGAGAGGCCCTGGGTTTGATTCCCGGGCAGGACGAAACGTTGGCTAAGTTTCCTTCCTCCACACGCCTCTGGTTACCTAGCAGTAAATAGGAACCCGGTTGTTAGTTGATTGGCGGATCGCTTTTCTGGGGGTAGTAATAATAATAATAATAATTATTATAGTAATCTCTTCCAACAACAAATCATGATTTTGTCGCTCAATCCACGTTTGTGGGACACTGCTGTGCGCAATTGGCCACTGCGTTTCTTCCACAAAATATAGTCAATTAAATTTACAGTATATTCTGTGAAGCGCTTTGAGACGTGAGAAAGCGCCATCAAAAGCAAGGATTATTATTATCTCTTTTTGAATTTTATATCCAGCTGAGCAGCCGGAAGTCACTTCTGACCCCGGCTCCCAGCGCCGTACTGGAGTTTCAGCCAAGACTGTGAGTTCAAAGTCACTTTTAACCCACGTCTTTCTGACTCTTGTTGCAGAAGTGTTACCGACTGAGGTAGGCTGTGCTCCATTGTTAAATGGGAAGTAAAAACTGAATCAATGGGCCTCAGCAAAAACAAAGTAAACGCACGTCTGCCTAAATCTGCACGAGGAGCAGCTCGTACGTCCTTCACATCAAGTGTTGGAAGAGAGAAGCAATGTGCTGTGTCTGTCCAATGCAGTATTAAAAACATAATAATAATAATCCTCGCATTTGATATAGCGCTTTCAAGTCTTCAAGACGTCTCAAAGCGCTTCACAGATTATACTGTAAAATGAATTGATTGTATACTTGTGGGTGAAACTCGGCGGCCAACTGCGCTCAGCAGCGTCCCCACAAACAGTCGCGGATTGAGTGACCAAATTATTTTTCTTATTTAAAGGCGTCAGACCGTGTCCACAACAAAGCTGATCAGAACCACGCGGGGGGATATTTAACTGCCAAACAGCGCAGTAATTGGGATGTCGTGACCAGTTTTTTAATGTCTCTCTGGGTTTGCGATGAGAAAGAGAGTGCATTCTTGTTTTTTGGAAAAAGCATGCAATGCCTATTAGTTTTGTGGAGGCTCTTGTATAAGAAAGCAGCTGCATGTTACATGCAGTCCAGCTATCTCAGAGAGGAAGTGCGCACTATGTTGCACCAGAAGAATAAACCCATTGTTTCTTTCAAGTAATGTCTTGGGGCACTTAACAGTGGTGTCGTTTGATGCTGAGCTGGGAAGAGAGGGGAGTAGACCGTAGGAATGGTTGAAGAATTGCTCCAAGGTGAAGGTGGGGGAAGTGCGAGGATGAAAACAACAGCGCAGTGTGGCCGTACAGAGTAAAACACTGTGACAGTGGAATCAGGGTTTGCTGAGTTGTGGTTTTGAAATTGGGGCTTTGTCTCATTTCAAAACAGCCTCTCTGCTGAGTCAGCGCCGATTTGGGACCTCCCTCAGTACCCTTCCCCTCGGGGAGCCGAGGGTGGGGTGAGGGGAGCCGAGGGTGGGGTGAGGGGAGCCGAGGGTGGGGTGAGGGGAGCCGAGGGTGGGGTGAGGGGAGCCGAGGGTGGGGTGAGGGGAGCCGAGGGTGGGGTGAGGGGAGCCGAGGGTGGGTGAGGGAGCCGAGGGTGGGGTGAGGGGAGCCGAGGGTGGAGTGAGGGGAGCCGAGGGTGAGGTGAGGGGAGCCGAGGGTGGGGTGAGGGGAGCCGAGGGTGGGGTGAGGGGAGCCGAGGGTGAGGTGAGGGGAGCCGAGGGTGGGGTGAGGGGAGCCGAGGGTGGGGTGAGGGGAGCCGAGGGTGGGGTGAGGGGAGGTAAAGGTGGTGTGGGGAGGGGAGGTAAAGGTGGTGTGGGGAGGGGAGCTGAGGGTGGAGTGAGGGGAGGTGAGGGGAGGTAAGGGTGGAGCGAGGTGAGGGGAGGTAAGGGTGGAGCGAGGTGAGGGGAGGTAAGGGTGGGGTAGGGGAGCTGAGGGTGGTGTGGATGAGGGGAGGTGAGGGTGATGGGGAGGTGAGGATGAGGGGAGGTGAGGGTGATGTGGGGTGACGGTGATGTAGGGGGAGGTGAAGACGAGGGGGAGGGTGGGGAGGTGAGGGGAGCTGAGGATGATGTAGGGGAGGTGAGGGAGAGGGTGGGGGAGGTGAGGGTGATGGGGAGGTGTGGATGAGGGGAGGTGGGGGTGACGGGGAGGTGAGGATGAGGGGAGGTGGGGGTGATGGGGAGGTGAGGATGAGGGGAGGTGAGGGTGATGTGGGGTGACGGTGATGTAGGGGGAGGTGAGGACGTGGGGGAGGTGAGGGGAGCTGAGGATGATGTAGGGGGAGGTGAGGGAGAGGGTGGGGGAGGTGAGGGTGAGGTGAGGATGACGGTTATGTGAAGGTGATGCTCCCCATCACACAGAGGATACAGTTCAAGATCCTGGTCCTCACCTTCAAAGCCCTCCATGGTCTTTCTCCGCCCTACCTCTGCGACCTCCTAACCCCCTACCATCCTGCTCACTCCCTCCGCTCAGCGGGCTCCAGCCTGCTTCACGTCCCCTGCCTCGCTCGCCCCACTATTGGCGGGCAGGCCTTCTGACACTTTGCCCCCACCCTCTGGAGAAGAGAGTTTTTCTCTTCTGATTTCTGGCCAACAATCCCCCTCCCCTCGATTTAAAAAAAATGTTTAAGTCATCCGTTTTACAGCTGTTTGTGGGCATCGCTATGCGCAAATTAGCCATTGCGTTCGCCCACAAAAGTCCACAGTCACTATAATAATAATAATAATAATAATCCTTGCATTTGATATAGCGCTTTTCACGTCGGGAGGACGTCCCAAAGCGCTTCACAGAATAGACTGTAAAGTGAATTGACTGTATATTTGTGGGCGAACGCGGCAGCCAATTGCGCACAGCAATGTCCCACAAACAGTCGTAGATTGAAAATGACCAATTTATTATTGTTTTTGTTTTGGGATTATTATTAGGCGTGTGGAGTAAGGAAACTTGCCCAAGGTTTCGCCCTGTGCCTGGAAATGAACTCAGGTCTCTCACTTGCAAAGCGAGTGCTCTAACCACTGAGCTACAGGACTATGCTTTCTAGAGGCTCTGAAGAGCTTTGAGACTGCGTCGATCTTATGAAATGCAAGCATTATTAATAAAGAAATCATTTTTCTTCAGAAAGTGGGAGTTCTGATTCTTCTCTCTCTCGCTCTCCCCTCAGAAAGACAGAAGCTGCTGACTTCGGTGAACAGTTATGGTTCCCAGTGTGACACAGACCCAGCGACTCCTGCCTCGAGCAGCTTGGACCTGCAGGAGGAGGAGTTGAGGAGGAAACTGAAGTATTTCTTCATGAGTCCCTGTGACAAGTACCGAGCCAAGAGCAGGAAGCCCTACAAGCTGGTTGTGCAAATGATCAAACTCATCGCCGTCACAGCCCAGGTGATCTAATTAATCCAGCACTTTGGGATCCCCCCCGATGTGAAAGGCGCTATACAAATGTGATTTGTTCTTGTTGTTGATTCCACGACTGGTGAGGATTAAACTGCACTGAGCGCACCAGGCTGGGGGGGTGGGTGAGCAGGCAGTCCGCGGGGGTGATCAGGCAGTTGGTGGGGGGAGGAGCGGGGGAGCAGGCAGTGTTGGGGGGGGGGGTGAGCAGGCAGTGGGGGGTGGGGTGAGTAGGCAGTGTGGGGGGGGGGGGCGGGGGGGGGGTGAGTAGGCAGTGTGGGGGGGGGTGAGCAGGCAGTGTGGTTGGGGGGTGAGCAGGCAGTGTGGTTGGGGGGTGAGCAGGCAGTGTGGGGGGTGGGGTGAGCAGGCAGTGGGGGGTGGGGTGAGTAGCAGTGTGGGGGGGGGGTGAGCAGGCAGTGTGGGGGGTGGGGTGAGCAGGCAGTGTGGGGGGGGTGAGCAGGCAGTGTGGGGGGGTGGGGTGAGCAGGCAGTGTGGGGGGTGGGGTGAGCAGGCAGTGTGGGGGGTGGGGTGAGGAGGCAGTGTGGGGGGGTGGGGTGAGCAGGCAGTGTGAGGGGTGGGTCGGGGTAAATAGGCGCTATAGAAATGTAATTTGTTGTTGTCTGAAGCTCAGTTAAGCAGAGGCTTAATTTGTATTTATTCGACTCTCGGGTGACATGTCTGGAGGTTCAGGTGTATTTAGAATCATAGAATTATTCAGTGCAGAAGGAGGCCATTTGGCCCATCGTGCCCGTGCCGACTCTTGAAAGCACCGTCCAAATTAATCCCATTCCCCTGCTTTCTCCCCATAGCCTTGCATATTTGTCCTCCCCAGATATCTATCCACTTCTCTCTTAATAGCTGTTATCGAGTCTGCTCCCACCACCCTTTCAGACTTTATAGATCCCACAGCACGACTGGTGACGAGAAGCCTCATGTTGTAACAGGGTGACATGTACCCGCTCCAGGTCTGAAACCGTTCTGTCACGCTCAGTGTTTGAAGTTCCTTGCACTGTGGATTCGGCACAGTGCAGACAGTTGTACCAAAGACATAAAAATGTAGGAATCCCAACAGGTTTTGTGTTGGTGTCCTGTATCGCGCTGGCTCAGCTAGCAAGACCCTCACCTCTGGGTCAGAAGCTTGAGAGTTCAAGCCGCCATATCAGAATTTTGAGCTTACAGTCCAAGCTGACACTCCAGGGCAGTGTTGGGGGAAACACTGCATTGTCAGAGGCACCGTCCTTCGGGCGAGGCATTAAAAAACGAGTCTGCCTTCATCAGATGGAATTAAAATTTCCAATGCACTATTGGAAAATCGGGGAGTGTCTCCTGGTGTCCTCGTCAACAGGTAAAATAAAATGTCTCTTTCCCTTGCTGATTGATGACAGTCCGATTGGCCTGGCACATCGACAGGACTTGGGAGGGCAGACACTGAGAGGGGTGTGGGGGGAGATTCCTCAACGCTCAGATACTATTAACCCTGCAAGCCAGAGCCCCTATGGTAGGGTAGTCCTCGCTGGACAAGCAGCAGGAAAGTTTGGATGTTTTGACTCATGTGGAAACCCATGGTGATGGGTTTCCACATGAGTCAGACACTTGGCTGATCAAAATAGCTCTGTCTGGGAAATTGCTGTCGTACAGTCAGTATACTTGGCAGTAAAGCTCTTGATGTCTTGAGATGCTGTAAAAATGCGAGTTCTTCCTTTAATGTTTCTTCTGCGTTTGTGTTCTCAGTTGATTCTGTTTGGGTTGAGTAACCAGATGGTGGTCAATTTTGCAGAAGAAAACACTCAAACCTTCAAGCATCTCTTTCTGAAGGATTACGCAGACGGATCAGATGAAACGCATGCTGTGTATACACAGGACGATGTTTACAGCTCTCTCTTCTACATCATTGAGCAGGTTAGTAGCTTTGTACAACAGTCCTCCAGGTGTCAGCCTGGTTCTGTTGGTGGCGCTCTAGCTTCTGAGTCAGGAAGATTATGGGTTCAAGCTGGACATCTTAATAATAATAATAATAATAATAATCCTTGCATTTGATATAGCGCTTTATTATTATCTTGACCTTAAACTCACATTGTTTAAGCTGATATTCCAATATGGTGCTGTTGGAGAGGGAAGTACAGAGGTGCCATCCTTCAGATGAAAAATTAAACTGAGGTCTCGGTGGCCTGTTCAGGTGGATGTTGAAGATCCTGTGGCATTAATTTAGAAAGAGAAGGGAGTTTCTCTCTCCGGGTGTCCTGGCCAATAATCCCCCCCAATTAAAATTGGTCACTCACTTCTTGGCTCTTTGTGAGACATTACTGTGCAAATTGGCTGCCTGGTTCACTTATAGCTACAGTCATTATACCTTACAGAAACTCCTATAAGGGTTTGACATTCTAGGTACCATATCAAGAATTGTTAGTTTTGATCAGAAACATCGCTTTTCTCAAATGTTTTATGTGAAGTGCCACTTTTTTAAATGGTGTGAGCAATTTGCTCTTTGTTCCTGGGACACAATCCAGATTTACATTTATATTGTGTCCGGTGGATGTCCCTAGACATCTAACAGCCCTGGTTGGGCATCTGACCTGCGGGTGGGAGCTGAGGGGGTTAGGGTGGGGAGAGGGGAAAGGTGACCGAAAGCGAGGTCAAAGAGATAGTTCTTGAGCCAGACTTTGAAAGAGGTGGAGGAGGGAGAGAGTCAGACTCAAGAATGGAGAAGTACTGCAGAAAATGATATTGAAGACTATTTGTGCAAAGTCTCCTTCCTCTTTCCCAAGGTTTTACTGAGCCTCAGAGCTGCTTTTCAACCAAGTCCGCTTCCCTGTCGTTTAATGGTACTGTTTCTGTAGGTTGCTGTTCAAGAGCACCAGTGACGCCCTGTATCTGTCGCAAATCACACTTGGAATCATTTGCATACCTCAGTGGTTAAAGCACGCGCCTCGCAAGCGAAAGACTTGGGTTCAATTCCCGGCCAGGCAAAATGTTGGGCAAGTTTCCGTCCTCCACACGCCTCGGTTTACCTAACAGTAAGTAGGAGCTCGGTTGTTAGTCGATTGGCGGATCGTTTTTCCGAGGGTAATAATCTCTTCCAAAAAAAAATAATGATTTTGTCACTCAATCCATGTTTGTGGGACGCTGCTGGGCGCCATTGACTGCTGCGCTTCTTCCACAAAATAGTCAATTCACTTTACAGTATATTCTGTGAAGCGTGGCAAAGGCGTGATAAGGCAATATATCAAATGCAAGGATTATTATCACTATATGTACTAGGCAACTAGGCCTGGAAGTCGTTGTGGGTAGACCACAGACATTTGACTTGCATAATGACTGATGAATTTGAGTCAAATGTGTCATAATAATAAATCTTGCATTTCACATAGCGCTTTATTTGGTTGAAAAGCCGCAAAGAGCTTTGCAGAGTTTTTCTGTGAAGTGTTAGTGAAATAAAACTTACACCCTGTGACATCCAGACACCAGTATGTTTTCCCCCCCAAATCCATCACCGCAGTCTCAGTGGTTAGGCACAAAGCTTGTATCTCATTAACCAGCAGTTGGGTTCAACCGTTGTTAAGGAGTCGGCTGGGTGAGTTTGTGGGGGGTGTAATTGGTTATCAATAGGGCAACGGTTTGACCGATCCATTAATTAATACGTCACAGGTTTGCGTTACACACTTTGCCGATGGGGAGTTAGTACTTCTGGATCACACCTGGCCAGTATTTGTTACGGAAGTTGAACCAGCGCGAGGGATCATATTGAGATGATCTTCTTGTTATTGTAGACTTGAAGCTGTTAGTCTGTTAAGTGGCCTCTGGTGGTTTGAGTAGGTGGATGTGGTGATATTGTCAGTGCTTTCAACACAGCCTTGCTGTGTAATTGGCCTATTTATGAAATTGGAACAATTAACAATGCAAAGGAGGCTTTTCCCTTGAAGAATTGCATAGACTGTACAGCACCGAAATAGGTCACTCGGCCCAACTGTTCAATGCTGGCGTTTCTACTCTAAATGGACCTTCAACTCATCCTAATCCCTCCCCCATACCCCTCTATTTCATGGTCTTTAGCTTCCTCCTTGGCTAGTTCTATATTCATCAATTACATGGGCCTCCTGTAACTCCTTGCTATGTGGAGTGCTTTGCATTTAGGTGTATTGAATATCATTTAGTAGTGGTAAACCTGGTTAGGTACCCATTGTGGCCAACCTGTAACAGTGGGATGGGGGAGGTGGAGGACTGGTGTCTCTAAACCACTCGCTTGTGCATTCGTTGGTGCAGGGAAATAAAACGCTCTGTAACTAATCCACTTTGTCTCCTCCCAGTTCCTGGCCCTTCAGAACATGACTCTAGGGACCTATGCCTACGTGATCGAAAATGAGAATCACACTGCTCTCGAGCTCTGCCAGCAGTTTTACAAGAAGGGGCAGATTAATCCCGCCAACGACACCTTCAACATCAACCCACTGGTACAGACAGGTACAGGTTTTGAAGACTGTGATTAATAGTTTGTCAGCTTTCAAGCAGCTTGGCTGTTTTGTTCACAAATATAGGGTTCTACGTTGCAAGTCACTTCAAACGCATTGCACAGGGGACCTTGATTCTGTCGTCACTGAGCCCTGACTCCCGATCGCTGAGGGCAAGGATTCTTCCCACTCACCCCCTGTTAACCCTGGAACCCAAAGCCGTAAAGGGTAGGGTGGTCATAGTTGGACGAGCAGTGGGAAGCTCAGCAAACAGTACCTTCAATGGCAAGCTAGTTTTTTNCTGGTTAAACTCTTAACTGATGCACACTCTTTAGTCCTCCAAGCCATGGCTCTTGCCAACCTGCACGTACAATACAAAATTATATTTGTAGAGCGCCTTTCACGTCGGGAGGACGTCCCAAGGCACTGGGCAGTCAGGGATTAGGTCCTGAACCGGGGGGTGGGGTGGGGGTGTTTGGAATCAGGGAAGGTTGAGGGTAGAGAGAGTAAGAGGGTAGCTAAAGGCATGGTCAAAGAGGAGGGTCTTGAGGCGTGCCTTGAAGATGGCAAGGAAGAGGGTGAGGCGAAAGGAATATGGGATAGAGTTTCAGAGGGTGGGGGCAGAGAGGCTGAAGGCCCGAACGCCGATGGTGGAGCAGGCCGGAGCCTGCTGAGCAGAGGGAACGGACAAGTTGATAAGGGTTAGCAGGTCCAAGAGGTAGGAGGGTCAAGGCCATGGAGGGCCTTGAAGATAAGGTGCAAATTTTAAACTGCATCCGCTGAGGGATGGGGAGCCAGGCGAGGGTGGATGTAATGGGGTCACAGAGCCTGGTGCAGGAGAGGGCACAAGCTGCAGAGTTCTGGATGATCTGCAGCTTGTGGACGGAAGAGTTGGGAAGGCCGCCAAACAAGGCATTGGCATAGTCGAGCCTGGTTGTGATGAAGGCATGTATGAGAGTTTTGGCGGCCGAGGGGGTGAGGCAGTGGCGGAGTTGGGCAGTGTTGCGGAGGTGGGGGTTGATAGTGCAGGTCATGGCACGGATGTGGGGGAGAAAAGACGGTTCAGGATCGAACAAAACGCCTAGGTTCCTGACTGGCTTAGTGAGGTGGAGTGTGCATCCTTTGATGCTGATGCTGCTAGTGCCTGAGGCACTGGTGCAACCTAATCAGGGCCTCAAGTCTTGCTGACGTTCAACTGTAGAAAGTTGGCTCTCATCCAGGACTTGATGTTTGACAGGCAGTCTGTCAGGACATCAATGGTCCTGGGGTTGAGGGTGGAGGCAGAGAGATAGAGTTGGGTGTCATCCGCTTACATGTGGAAGTTGACCCCATGTCTGCGGATGATGTCACCAAGAGGGAGCATGTACAGGTTGAAGAGGAGGAGACTGAGGACAGAGCCCTGAGGAACCCCAAAAGACGGTGCCATCTGAACCATCTGAGCTTAATACTCTCCAGGATTAGGTAAGCGTGGTGTGTCCCTGTTTTCCATTCCAATGGGTTTGGAAATGATGCCCTCATCATTCTTGCGGTGGTGATAATTAATGATTCTTGCATTGGATGCAGCGCTTTATCACAACGTTGAAATATCTCAAAAGTGCTTCACGGGATTTACCGTAGAGTGTATAAAGACTTTTTTATAAAGAGTATAGACTGCAAAGGGAATTTGTAGGGGAAAGTGGCAGCCAATTTGCCCACAAAAGTGCACAACAAACAGCCATTAAGTCAATACCCAATTTTATCTGTCAACCAGAGAAACTCCCTTCTCTGAGCTTTCCCACCCCCTCTCTTCAGCTCCCCACCCTTCTAGTTCGGGTCAGCAGTGCAAACTACTTTTGAGACTGTCATCAACAGCAACTTGCATTTATATAGCGCCGTTCACGCAAGGTGGCATCCTAGCATCCTTGAAAATGGTGGAGTCTGATGCTGATCCAGGGGGAGAGGGAGGAGGGAGGTGACCATAAGCACGATCAAAAAAAAAAAGGAAGGTCTTTAGGCTGGGATTTTAAGGTGGGAAGGGAGGGGGGAGGGAGAGAGTTTCAGAGTTTTGTGGCATAGTGGCTGAAAGCATGGCTACTGATGGTGGAGCGGAGGGACGAGGCACAAACAGGAGACTGAGCGGAGGCAGTGGGTGGTGGTGTGAGGGGGTAAGCAAATCAGAGAGGTAGGGAGGTGCAGGGCATGAAGGATTCTGAAAACGAGTGAGAGGATCTTGAAATTGATCTGTTCGATAATTGGGAGCCAGTGGAGCCTGGCCAGGACTGGTGTGACAGGGGTACGGAAGTTTGTGGGGATGAGTTTCCGGGCGGTAAAGTTCTGAATTAATTGAATTTGTGTGGAGCTGGGAAGACCAGCGGAGGAGGACATTGGAACTGTCCAGTCGGGAAGTGACGAAGGTGTGGGCGAGGGTTTCAGGTGCGTTGGTTGTGAGATGCAGACGGAGGCGAGCAACGTGACGGAGGTTGGAAAAAGCAGTGCTTCAATACGAAAGGCGCTATTGTAAAAAAAACACAGCACAGACGTAGCCTGTGGGTTATACACTGGCTCTCAGAGCAAGCTGTCCATTCAATGCTCAGCTCAGCCTTCTCCCTGGCACTGGGTAAAGGTAGACTGTCGTGTATTGATTCTCTTGGGTTTATCAGATGCCGACAGTTAATTGTCCTTTCTCTTGCAGAGTGCATTGGAGTGAGTCCCAGCACGCTCACTCACCCCACGGAGGTCCGAATGTACAGGAACTTCACACTGAAATTCTACAAGTAAAAGCTTCCTAGTGTTTTCTGATTGTCGCTCAGTGGGCTCCTGCTGTTTGCCTGTGATGGCGATGTGTAGAGTTGTTAACGCAGTTATTATTATTAACCTGTCTTTTTAGTTTGTATTTTGTGCACGGCACTGGTTTTATTTTAATTTAGTGGTTAAACTACAGCAGTTGCCCTCAATACAAACTCTGGGGTCTGTTTCCCCCCCCCCCCACCCCAAAATCTTGGCTCTCACCAATCTGCACCTAAACTGGGGGAACCCTCCAGGAAGAGAAGAGTGTGCATTCCATTCCAGACAAGGGGAGATTTCCATGTGTAGGTGACATACACGTGTGGAGCTCTGTCTCTGGGCATGGTGATGAGTTTCCGCATGCTTCTGACGAGAAAAAATTCAGAACCATGACTCAGGGTTGGGGTGAGCAGTTTTGCTCACAGCGATGATGAGGAGTAATCTTAAGTACTAGCATGCTGCTGTTTCCTTGCATGCCCTTGCATGCACCTCCCTATCTCGCTGACCTGCGTACCCCACAACCCACTGGCTCCAGTCTTCTGCATGTCGCCTGTGCCCTCTGTTCCACCATTGGTGGCCACGCTTTCAGCCACCACGCTCTGAAACGATGGAACGCCTGGCCCCTTCCTTCCCCATCTTCCAGTCGCGCCTGAAGACCTTCCTATTCGACCGTGCCTGCGGTCGCCTCCCACCAGTGCGGTGTCGTGCTCCGCCACTGTCACACACTATGGGACGCTACCCCTGCGTGAACGACGCTATATAAGTGCTGTAGGTTGTTTGTGGTGTTAGTAAAATAGCTGCAATTTTCTTTTCTGTGCCCTAGGCTTATAAACGTTTCCATAAGGTTTAAACTGAAAGCGATCAACATCCAGACGATCATCAACCACGAAATTCCAGACTGCTACACGTTTAAGATTCAAGTAAGTCGTTTTTTTCCGATGTATGCAATTAATCCCTTTCCTGGTCACCCAGATTTGATCACAAGATCAGTTTGGATGAGCCCATCTGATCTCACCCACAAAATCAGTCCATCTGATCTCACCCACAGTGTCAGCCTGGCACAGTCCATAGCACGCTCGCCTTTTAGTTAGAAGGTTGTGGGTTCAAACTGTGAATTGGACTCGTATTATAAAAATCCTTGCATTTGATACAGCACCTTATCACGACGTTGAAACCTCACGAGTTATACTGTAAAATGTAGTAACTATTTTGTGGGTGAATCGTGGCAGCACAATTTGCTCTCAGTAGTGTCCCACAAACAGACGTAGATTGAGTCACCAATTTTTATTTGTGGGATTGACCGGCCAGGGCCCTGAGAGAAACTTCTGTTTTACAAAATGTCTTAACCTTAAGACCATCTCCTCAAAATGTAATGTCGTGCAGATGTTTGCAAAATTCCTCAGTCAGGCCTGACTTTGGAAGCTGGATTTCGAGACTCGGAGATTCACAAAACAGGAAATTCAGTAATTTTTCTTACAAGACACAAAAAGTTTGTGTCAGTGATGAACCCCGCGTTAAACATTAGTAAATTGCTAGGTATGTGAAGAATCTGTGTGCTAATTGTGCCATGCTGTTCAGATGAAAGAGTTCAGTTGTCTGTGCTGAGTTTTCTGTGATACCATATTAATCCCTGCATTTGATACAGGGCCTTAACGCGTCGAAACATCTCAAAGCGCTTCCCAGAGTATTTCAGTAAACTCTAATGACTGTTTATCACGTCCTCCCACAAGATCGGTTTGGATGAAGAAGGCCATTTTGGCTCATCCGATTTCATCCTTGCAGAACATCCACCCTACGGTTGCCTTCCCCCCACCCCATCACAGCCTCAAGCTGCCTTTTAACTGAGAAGTGCTATATCAAAGACGAGCACTATTTATTTCCGAGGCGAATCTGACAGCCAATTTACGCTCAGCAAATGTCCCACAAACAGCCATGGAGTGAATGACCAATTTTTTTTTTTATCTGGGGGATTCTTGGCCAGAATCCTGGCCAACAATCCCTCGGATAAAAAAAAAGAAGGAATTCCCTTTTTTCTAGTGGTGCTGTGGGATCTTTAATGCCTACCTGAATAGGCATAGACGTCAATTTTACTTCCTATCTGAAGGACAGCACATCTGACAGCACAGCATTCCCCGAACACTGTATTACAGCCACATCCTGGACTGTCAAATATCTGACATGGGACTTGAGTCCACCACTAACTAAGATAGTCTGACAATCAAACAGAGAATTTCTGTTCAAATTGGTTTTCCCTGACCTTATAAAAATAATTACATCTGATCAGCTCATGTGAGGAGAATATCTCAAAACGCTTCACAATAAACACTGAAATGCAGTGACTATATTGACTGTAGGATTCTTGGCCAAGAGGCGAGTGAGGCAAGAGTGCTACCAACTGAGCCAGACTGACACCGAAACACATCCAAAGCTAGGTGAATGTTTGGAGAGATGTGGGTGGTAACAACAACAAATTACATTTGTGTAGCGCCTTTCATGTCAAGAGGACATCCCAAGGCGCTGGCTAGTCAACGATTTGGATCCAAGCGGGGGGTTGGGATCAGGAGGGGTGGAGGGCAGGGAGGATGGTGATCGTATGTGCGGTCGAAGAGGAGGTCTTGAGATGGGTCTTGAAGGAGGAAAGGGAGGGGGGCTAGGCGAAGAGACTGGAATGGAGTCCAAAAGATGGGGACAAAGAGGCTGAAGGTGACCACCGATGGTGAGGCAACTCGGGATGGTGAGGGCAACATGGAGCAGGCCCGCAGAGTGGACGGGTCTGCATGGAGTTAAAAGGACACAGAGGTAATCGTTGGGTCTCCTATTTAATGGCTCTCATCCAAAATGTCTCGCTAAAATGCTTGAACTTCCATTGCAGATCCTGTTCGACAACAAAGCACACAGCGGCCGCATCAAGGTCTCCCTGGACAACGACGTGGTCATTAAGGAGTGCATGGATCACAGTGTGCTCGGCTATGGTGAGCAACCACACAGCAAAAATATACCCAATTAAGCCAATGAAGGGCAATGCAACATTCTGACCAGGAGGCAAGAGCTACCGACTTTGAGCACTTTGAGACGTCCTCCTGACATGAAAGGCGCTGCTTCGGATGTAATTATTATTATTATTAAGGTCAGGGCTAATCAATTTGAACAGAGGTTGTTTTGATTGTCAGCCTGGCTCAGTCAGTAGCAATCTTGCCTCCTAGTCAGAACGTTGCATTGCCTTTCAGTGTTTTAATTTTTTTTATTAATTATAATTAAATAATACTTACATTTGTTGTACATTTATTTCATGTTGGCAGAGCGTCCTAAAGCACTTGACAGGATACACTGTAAATAATAATAATCCTTGCATTTGATATAGCGCCTTATCACACCTTTGATATGTCTCAAAGCGCTTCACAGAATATGCTGTACTTTTTTGTGGGTGCAACACAGCAGCAAGTTGTGCACAGATCCACTGTCTCCAGGATGCACAAACACTGCGATCCACTGTCTCCAGCATGCGCTGCCACCAGACACCTGCGCACAGTGTTTTGCTTTGTGCCTGTGGGTGAATGTGGTAGAAAGAAACTCCCTTCACTCTTCAAGTAACGTTTAATGTCTACCTGAACAAGCCCAGACCCCGAGCTCAGTGTAACATCTTATGTGAAGGACGTCACCTCCAACAATGCAGCGCTCCCCAAGCACTGCACTGGAGTGTTAGCCTGGACCGTATGAGGTCCAACCCTCTGACTCTGAGGCGAGAGTGCTAGCGACTGAGCCAGACTGACACGCACATCTCCTTTGCCCCACAGGTCCCAACGATTATAAGCTGCTGATCTTTGACATCTTTGTGCTCGGGTTTTGTGCGCTCTCCTTTATTTTGTGTGCACGCTCCATCATCCGAGGGGTGATGCTGCAGAAAGTGAGTACTGTTTCCCTTCCGGCTTTCCGTGCACACATCCTCCCGATGGCCAGCTTGGCAGTAGGTCAGTGGGGCACCTGTCTGCAGTGCAAATGATTCCATGCAGGACTTTCCCATTATAACTCCTCTCACCCTCCCGCACACACCCCACAGCTTATTGCGAGGTTTGGCTTATAGCTCTTGCGAGTGTTGGGCCGGCCTCCCTGGCTCTGCCTTTACCCGTCTTCAAATCCGACCTTAAAATCTGTAAGACAGAGCCTATGGCCACCTGCTCACTGCCTTTCCTCCAGGCTCAGTGACCCACACTGTCACGTTGTTGTTGTTGTTGTACAGAAGTGTGATACATCCACCTCCGGGCCAGGACGAGCTGGCTTCACATACTTACCAGTTTCCAGTGCCCCGTCTACTAATCGTCTTCAGCGAGTAGCTAAAATAATAATGACCACAATAATAATTCTTGCATTTGGCGGTGCAGCACCTTTCATGTCACGGATGTCTCAAAGCGCTTTACTGTAAAATGCTTTTTGTTGGCAAAAGCAGCAACAAATTTGCAGGCGCTGACTGCGATGTCCCACAAATAGCCACGTGAATTGAGTGGCCAGTTTTATCTGGAGGATTGTTGGCCAAGACACCCGGAGCGGGGGAGAAGCTCCCTTCTCACTCCAGCGCTGCATTGGAGCATCAGCCTGGAGTCTGTACGAGTTTAATGTCCAGGTGTGGGTGGACTTGCACCCATAACCTTCTGACTCGGTTTGCGAGAGTGCTGCTAATTGAGCCAGGCTGGTACTCAACACTGGGAGTAAAGACACGCGATGTATATGGGGGGCAGACAGCGCTGTGCAGAAACGTCCTGCAAAAAGTGGATCCTTTGGTGCAGGGGATTGTGACCTCCCCTCGGACTGTTTTTGTTCCCAGGAGTTTGTGAAGTTCTACTGGCTGCGTTATGGCCGTGAGCTGCCCTGGGCCGTGCGCATGGAGTTCCTGAACGGTTGGTACATCCTCCTGATCATCAGCGACATCCTCACCTTCCTGGGCACCATCATGAAGATTGGCATTGAGGCAAAGGTCAGAAGGCCCTAGGGATGGGATTCACGGAATGGCTCTTCATCCAGCTCTGTGTGTGTCTGTGTCTTTGGGGTGGGGGTGGGGAGTGTGCGGGGGGGGCGGGGGGGGGAGTGTGCGGGGGGGGGGGGGTTGCGGAGGTGGGGAAAGACCAAGCGATTTATGGCATGGCTGTGGGAGCTGAAGGACAGTTGAGGGTCGAACAGGATGCAGATGTTCTGTAGTGGCTCCATGGGGTGTGAGAGTGATGCTCTCAGTGACCGAGGTGAGGAGGCGCTGATGGGAGCAGGAAAGCTTCGGTCTTGTTGACGTTCAACTGGAGAAAGTTCGCTCTCATCCAGTACTTGATGTCTGACAGACATTCTGTCAGGACAGCAGTGGGTCCTGGAGTCGAGGTTGGGGGTGGAGAGGTGCAGTTGGGTGTCATTGGCATACGTGTGGAAGTTGACCCCGTGTCTTCAGATTGATGTCACCAAGATGGAGCATATAGATGTTGAAAAGGAGGGGACCATCGGGTGCGGGGGAGATGGCTCAAAGCGCTTCACAGAATATACTGCAAACTGGATTGACTGTCTCTTTCGTGGGTGAAAAACTGCAGCCAATTTCGCACAGCAGTGTCTCACAAACAGTTGTGGATGGAGTGACCACTTTTTTTTTTTTTGAGACAATTATTACCCCCGGAAAGTGATCTCGAAACCAGGTCCCGACTTACTGCTGGGTAGGCAGAGGCGTATGGAGTAAGTAAACTTGCCTAAGGTTTCGCCCGGCCCGGGAATCAAACCCAGGTCCTCATGCTTGCGAGGCGAGTGCTCTAACCAACACGCTATGGGACTCCGCTTGCACTGAAAGATTATTTAGGCGTCGTCTTCTTCTACTTTCAGAATTTTGCTTCGTACGACGTGTGCAGTATCCTCCTGGGCACCTCCACCCTGCTGGTGTGGGTCGGTGTCATTCGCTATCTGAGTTTCTTCCAGAAATACAATGTAAGTGCCATTGTATTAATTTGGTGTCACTTGGCATCAGCTTGGCTTTTTCGGGACTTTGAACTTGCATCGTCAGTCGAGACTGATGCTCCAGTACAGTGCCGGGGGGAGCACAGCCGTCCTTCACATGAAACGTCCACCTGCTCCTGCTCAGTAGGGGTTAAACATCCTGTTATTTGAAAACTGCACTGAGTAAAAGTATAGAGATCTACAGCACAGAAGAAGGCCATTTGGCCCATCGTTTCTATGCTGACTGTATTAAAGAGCGATATTTCAGTCCCATTTACCTGCCCTTTTCCCCCTCCCTCCATACCCCTGGAGTTGATTCCCTTAACCTCTTTCTAACCCCCCTTTGCCTCTTTTTGACAGATCCTTCCATATCGTACCAACTCTGTGTGTGAGAAAATGTCTCCTGACCACCTCAGTTGCTTGTTTGTTAGCTGTCTTTAAACACAAACAGTCCCTTCGCCTCACCCCATCCCTTCCCTCCTTCAAGGCACGTCTCAAGACCCTCCTCTTCGACCGCGCCTTCATTCACCATCCTACTCCTACCCTCCCTGCCCTCCACCCCTCGTAATCCCAATCCCCAGCTTGGGTCCAGTTCCCTGACTATCCAGCCTGAAAGATGCTGTGTAAATGTCATTTGTTGTTGATGCCCTGTAGCTATTGACTCACTGACCCTTATTTTCTCCCTAGATCCTCATAGTGACGCTCCGAGCCGCGTTCCCCAACGTGATTCGGTTTTGCTGCTGTGCAGCAGTTATCTACCTTGGCTACTGTTTCTGCGGCTGGATTGTGCTGGGACCCTACCACAACAAGGTGTGTGCAGAGGAGATGGTATTTTGTGGCGGATGTTGCAAAACAGCTGTGGACTTTTCGCCTTAGTGCAGCGTAAGAACGTACCAGGGTGAAGTGCCTCCTGCCCAACCTGCTGACCTGGATTCAGGCCGTTTTTCTTTTGTGAGGGAAACTAAAATGATCATCAGGTTGCTGCCCACAGACTGACCCAACAATCCCCAAGTAAAATTGGTCAATTAATTCACGTCTGTGGGATGTTGCTGTGCACAAAATTCACTGCCACAATAGCCCACAAAAACATGTGCTTTACAGTACAGTAAATCCTGTGTAGCGCTTTTGGAGGTTCTTCTGACATGAAAGGTGCTGTAACCATGTAAGGGTTATAATTGTTAATGGTATGTAATGTGCTCTTCCACAGTTCCGCAGCCTCTCCACGGTCTCCGAGTGCCTGTTCTCCCTGATCAATGGAGACGACATGTTTGTGACATTTGCTGAGATGCGGCAGAAGAGCACTCTGGTCTGGCTGTTCAGCCAGCTCTACCTCTACACCTTCATCAGCCTCTTCATCTACATGGTCCTCAGCCTCTTCATCGCCCTCATCACCGGCTCCTACGAAGCCATAAAGGTATGTACGATCAGGAGGAACCGGGGCAGAGGTGGCGGAGAAAAGCGCATCATAATAATCACCCACAAAATACACAGTCACCACACTTTACAGTGTATCCTGTGAAGCGCTTTGAAACTTCTGAGCGACATGATAAGGCGCTATATCAAATGGAAGGATTATTATAATAATATTGACATTTTTTATAGAGCCTTATATATATATATATATATATATATTTATACAAAAAGAAGGGAGTTTCTCTCTCCTGGTGTCCTGGCCGACAATCCACCCAAATAAAATTGGCCGTTCCCTTCATGGGTGTTAGCTGGATGTTGCTGTGAGCAAATTGCCGCGTTTCACCCACAAAACACCCAGTTTATTCCACTTTGCAGTAAATCCTGTGAAGCCCTTTGAGACGTGCGCCCGACATGAAAGGCGCTGTGTGAAGCGCAAGGATTACTATTCTGCTTCACGTCGGGAGGACATCTCAAACGTAAGGATTATTATATTATTCGCCCACAGAGTGTAACAGTCGGTTCACTTTATTGTGTATCCTTGAGGCACTTTGAGACGTCTCAGTGACGCGATCAGGCGCTGTGTCAAATGGAAGCATTGTTATTCTCATTATTAATAATAAATGGCCGAGCAGGAAATGTGACCGCTGTGTGTTGCTCCCCCAGCATCATGGGATCAGCGGGCTGCACCCGACAGAGCTGCACGAGTTCATCGCCGAGTGCAAAGACGCCCCGGGTTCGGGCAAGTTCCGCGAAGTGGAGAGCTCCATGTGCTCCCTTTTCTGCTGCTGCAACAGGTAAACGGCAACGACTTGTCCTCTACACGGAGACCTCTCCCCCAGGGTAACGTGTTAGCGTGGCACGGACACTGGCATGTACAGTGAGCAAGCCCCGGGGAGGGAGGTGACCATAGACATTGTCCAAGAGATCATTTTCTAGGCCGTGTTTACAGACCGTTAGTTAATATTTATCGAGCACCTCACGTGTCAAAAGGGAGAGAGAGAGAAAGGCGGAGGGGTACTACTCAAAGAGAAGGGAATTTCTCTCCTAATCCCCCGCACCGATGGCCTGCTGGCAAAATCCAGTGAAGCGCTTTGAGATGTCCCCCTCTCCCCAAACCCACCCCCCACCGACGTGAAAGATGCACCAAACGCAAGGATTCTGATGATTTTTATTCCGGGGGAAATCGTCCCGTTAGCAATCGCCAGAGCAGGTCACTGTGCGTGACCTCAGGCTGTCAGTCAGGAAGGTGTTCTGTTGCTTATGTTTTTCTGGAGTTAATTTGGAGTTACTTGGAGTTGATGTGAGCTGAGATCATGCTGCAGTCTCTAATCCATCTTCTCTTTCCCTCCCTCTTTCTTTTTCTCCCTCACTCCCCCTCTTCCCCCTCCCTCCCTCCCTCCCCTCTACTTCACTCCCTCTCTCCCTCTCTACCTCCCTCTCAGGACAACAACCTATGAGGACACCGTGTTCATAAACTGAGGTGTAAACGCTAGAGACGATGTCAGAGCCCACAGACCAGCCGAGTGGTTTAGGTTTGGGGGGAGCGGGAGGGGGGGTGGGGGGTAATTACTAGGGCAATGGCTGTGACATGATTGGATTTTAAGCGGACGCAAGGTCTCGCTCTCCTGCTGCTGCTGCTTTTAAATCACTGAACTGGTCGCACGAGAATGGACAGAGCAGATCAAGAGGAATTTGCTGACCAGAGGAACCTCAATCCCATTTGCTGCCACTGCCCTGTGCGGAGGAGGTGGATTTTTAAAAAAATTATTATTGTTTGCGAAATTGCGAAACGTTCAATGAAACTTTGCTGCAGGAACGTGACATCATGTTATTTTAAACGATGGGGAATAAAGCGGTGGCCAGGAATAACAGCCCGGCCATTGCTACAGCTAGACTGGACACAGTGAAGCTGCTCGACACCTAACCCCCAACCACAGCCCAAACCCCTAGCCCCCAGCCCCAGCACCCATCCCCTAGCCCAGCTCCCAGCCCCCAACCCTCAGCCTAGCCCCTAGCCCCCAACCACAGCCCCCAACCACAGCCCCCAGCCACAGCACCCAGCCCCCAGCCTAGCCCCACACCCTCAACCTAGCCCCCAACCATCAACCCGCCACCCCCCAACCCCTAGCCCAGCCCCTAACTACAGCCCACAACCCTCCCCCAACGTCCCAGCCTCCAGGTCCAGCATCAGGGGCAGAATATTCAGGAGGAGACTGGGTGAAGCTGTGCTGGGGTCTGGGCCTGTCACCTGTTGGGTGGTGATTGACAGAGCCATCTCTCAGGTTTTCTGCCTCTGGGCTCAGGAATAATATAGTAAACTGCTGATAACTCAACCCTGGCTTAACTTGTCACCACCTCTCAGCATCATCATCATCTGTCAATAGAATTTATTTATGTGTATATATACATCTGCCCAACTAACTGTCCGCTCCTGATCACTAGTCACTGAACTAGTGATCAGGAGAGATGAGTTATCAGGAGTTTATGGCATCGCATCCTCTGGGGTTTGGGGAAGTGGATTTCTTTATTTTTGGACTTTGCTTCGGGGTAAATGACTTTCCAATTGAGAACTTCAAAATTCCGGGTCGACCCAGCCCTGCGGATTGCACAGTCACTACACTCTGCAGGAAGAAAAGCTCTTGAGGCCTTCTCCACCTGATGAGCATTTGTATCAAATGCCTGTTTTTTTTTTTAAAAAATTATTTTTGATGTGAATTGGTTTTAATGCTATATATTGATCTGTTGCGAGGTGGGTCCCGAGGCATCACAAGTGGAGAGTATTCAGTCGGCTGGTCTCTGGGACAGCTCGGAGCTTTGCCGGTGTCGGGTTCTGTGAGGGCATCTTGCACTGTGGAGTCCTGCGGTGTAGTGGTTAGCGCAGTAGGAAAGCTCAGTGCTGGTTGGAGCGCCTATAGAATTTGAGCGGTTCCGATACAAAGCCCCAAGTACCCGTCTTAACTGTCGGTCACAGAGCGCGGAGGGAGGGCATTAAAAGACGAGTTTTCCTGTGTTATCGTACGTACAATTCTTGTCTCCCGGTCAGCTGCGTCAGGCGCTTTGAAAGCCCGTCACGACATGAAAGGCACTGCTTAAATGTGAACTCTTTTAATTTCAGTACGAATTTGGAGGATTTCTTTAATCCGTGTATTTTTCGTAGCTGCAGTTGTGAGATGGTACTAACAATCCTGGCATTTTATACAGCGCCTCATCACATTGTCAAGATGTCTTCAAACACTCCTTAGGATTTTGCTGTGACGAGTAGGGACTGAACGCGGGAGCCAGTTTTTCACATGGCCGTGCCCCACAAACAGCCATGAAGTGAGCCATCAATTTTATTTGAGGGATTGTTGGCCAGGACACCAGGAGGGAGAATCTCCCTTCACTATTCGAATAGCGCCACCGAATCTTTTACATCCACCTGAGCAGCAGAGGAGCTCGGCTTAACATCTCATCCGAAGGGTGGCACTGTATTGGATTGTCCGCCTGGACTGTGAGTTCAGAGTTCTGCTGTGGGGTTTGAACCCTCAACAATCCTCCAAATGAACTCTGTTCATCTCCTGGTTGTATGTTGCCAGAGTAAGTGACTGTCGATATCTTTGTCGTTAGTTAATGTAACCCTGCCTGGAATTACCCTGTAACCCGAACTCCGCTCACTGTAAAGTGAAATAAATCTACACGCGCTATTTTGTTTTATTGGTTCTTGCATCAACTTACACTCGTTTGTGGCCCCTTTCATCACAGGGCAAAGTCTGACCGCGGTTTAATTTTCGGGGTGGAGGGAGATGGTGAGTGGTGGAGAGAGAGCTGGAGGCACAGCCGAGGGAGAGGATTTCAGAGCCGATTACACAGCAGGAGAGGGTGCCAGAGAGTGGGGGAAAAGTAGCCCAAAGCTCTCCACCGTAATGTTATTTCCTAAGAGAAAACTAATCTGGGTTTGAAGGAATCAACATTTCCTGCTTCAGCCGTCGCCCCGGAGAGCCTGTGCCACAGGTTCAACATTCGTTCACTGAAATAGCATTCGCGTAGATTTGTTCTGAATTAACCCCTTCAATCGCAGGCCGTGGCCTCTGGTTTTACTATTCTGGACAAGTTGAAACAAGTCTCCTCATTAGATTGTTTTGCCCCTTTAGAATCTTAACGACAGCAATCGTGTCGCCTCTCAATCTCCTTTCCAGCGTGAATGTGCCCGATTTGCTCAGTCGCTCCTCATAGCCCAGTCCCTCCATTCCCCCAATCATTTTGGTTATCCTCTCGACTTCTGCCGATTAAATCGATTTTAATTACTAAAATTGTTTTAAAATCTGTTTTGAATTTAATTGTCTTATTTTTGCGGTGCGCAAATTGGTTGCCGCGTTCACCCATAAACACACGCTGACACTTAATTTTGCAGCAAATCCTGCGATGTGCTTTGAGACTTCCTCTGCCATGAAAGGTGCAGTACCAAAGGGAAGGATTATTATTAAGTTTGATTTACTGCTGTCGCAGGTGCGAGGTTCACATTAAAAATTCTTTGCAGCGCAATGAGATCACAGCACTTCACGCGGCTCTTTTTCATTTAATCAACAGTATTTCCTGGAGAGTCAGGAGTCCCAATCCCTTCCCTCTTAACTATCCAGGACATTTCTTCAAACAAAATCTTGGATGGTTGAGATGAATTATGAGGCAGTATAATAATAATACGTGCACTTGATACAGCGCCTTATCATGTCGTTGAGACGTCTCAAAGCGCTTCACAGAGTATACTGTAGAGTGAATTGACTGAATAATTGGTGGGCGCAACTTGGCAGCCAATGGCACACAGCAGCGTCCCCACAAACAGTCGTGGATTGAAGTGACCAATTTTATTCTTATTTAATTTTGAAGGAACTGTTACCCCCGGAAAAGCCGTCCGCCAATCGACTAACAGCCGGGTTCCTACTTGCCGCTGGGTAAACAGAGACGCGTGGAGTAAGGAAACTTGCCTAAGGTTTCGCCCCCTGCCCCCCTGCCCGGGGAATCAAACCCGGGTCCTCTCGCTTGCGAGGAGGCGAGTGCTCTAACCACTGCGCTACAGGACCCCGTGTCGGGTACGGTTGTTACTTCACTCCTGATCAGAATCCCCCTCGTCTTCATTCCTCTTTTCAATCTTGTATTTCAGTTTCCTGATGCCGTGGGTCAGACTCTTCAAGGTCAACGGCTCAAAGTCTTCGGGCAGTAGGAAGTTCCTGTCGATGATATCCGACGCTCTCCACCAGTTTGTAAAACAATCGACTCCCCTGGTGGTGATCTCCGCCACCCCCTCCCTCGTGATCACCTCCCCGTCCGGCCTCACAACAATCACAGTGGGAGACTCTGTGATGGCGTATCTGCTCAGCAGCTCACTGCGGGGGTGGAGGGGGTCGGGGGTGAGGGGGGAATCAAGGGGGTGGGAGGGGTGTGAGGTGGGGGGGGGAATTGGAGGAGATTGAGGGAGGGTGTTGAGGGGTAAGGGTTCAGGGGGATGGGGTGGTGTTGAGGGCGAGTTGAGGGGTGGGGGTTGAGGGGGGAAGAGAAAATCATCTTATTTTTAGTCACAACTTCATGACGGAGGGACATTGCTGTGTGTAGATTGGTTGCCCCCCACACCCACCACCCCTCCATTTGTCCACAAATGCAGTCATCACATAGCAAAGCGCTTTGAAATATTTCTGTAGCACTTACACAATTACTACACTTGACAGTAAATCCTGTGAGCTATCATTGGTGGTGGGGGGGGTGAAAAGTATTCCAGGGCACTCACTGCTGATGGCAGCACAGCCCGGCCTTGGCTCATCGGCAGGACCTGGAAGGACAGACCAGTCACTGGGGTCAGGGAATCCTCCCCCTCAGCTCCTGTTAACCCCACAGCCAAAGCCCTGACCAACGGGTCGGGTGGTCCCAGCTGGACAAGCAGCGGGAAGGCTCGGCCAGACAGGACTCTCAATGGTTTGACTGGACTCCAGCAATCACCCCCAACACATACTCTGGGGTCCCCCCGAGCCTCGGCTATGGCCAACCTGCGTTTAATACCTTCTGGAATTAGAGAAGCTCAGCGCGTCTCTCCAGAGAGTGAGAGTGTGCGCATTCCATCCCAGACACAGGAAAATCTCCATGGAATACCCACATGGAACAGTCAGTCTGTGATGGATACTCTTGAGTGCGGAATGATGGGTTATTATAACAATTTTACGTATTATTTACCAATTAGCTAATGTATTTACAGATGATCATCCTCATTCTGTGACTGTGCTTCTCTCTCCCGGTGTCCTGGCCAACAATCCCGCAAAGAACGCGGTCGCTCACTCCGCGAGTGTTTGTGGGGACGTCGCTGCGTGCAAATTGGCTGCCGCGTTTCGGCCACAAAACGCACAGCCGCTACACTTCGCAGTAAATCCCGTGAAGCGCTTTGGGACGTCCTCTTGACGTGAGAGGCACTGAACTAAGCGCAGAGATTATTGTTATTTTAAGCAAACGTCTTCCTCCCGGATTATCCTGGTTTATATCCACCTCCTCCTCCAAATGTTCCCACCAAATGCAAATTGATCAGTCCAAAAAGCAAAATTACCGCAGATGCTGGAAATCTAGAAATAAAAACAGAAGTGGTTGGGAACGCGCAGCGGGTCCGGCAGCACCGATGGAGAGGGAAGTGAGTTAACCTTTCAGGTTTCATAACTTATTCTCCTCTCTCCGTAGATGTTTGCCTGACCTGCCGCGTTTCAGCAAACTGATCAGCCGCTCATCTCACTGTGGTTTACGTGCCGTTGCTGTTCAGATCACTCCCACCCTCACCCTCGCCCTCACCCTCGCTCCCCTCCACTGGCTCCCCATCCCCCAGAGGATCGAATTCAAGATCCTCATCCTCACCTACAAGGCCATTCCCGGCCTCGCTCCCTCCTACCTCTCTGACCTACTATCCCCCTACCTACCTGCCCGTACCCTCCGTTCCTCCGGCTCCGATCTGCTCCACATCCCCCGCCCCAACCGCCCTACCATCGGTGGCCTTCAGGCTCTCAGCCCCGAGGCTCTGGAACTCTATCCCCCAGTGCCTTCGCCGCTTCCTCCCTCTCCTCCTTCAAGGCCGGTCTCAAGACCTTTCTCTTTGACCTTCAGCCTTCAGCTCCCCTCTCGACTCTCTACCACCCTCCTCCCTTCCCTCCCCCTGACCATTTCCCCCCTCCTCGCTCCCTCCCTTCCCTCCCCTCACCCTGACCATTTCCTCCCACTGCTCGGGTCCTGACCCAACTATCAGCACCTCGGGACGTCTTCCCGACGTGAAAGGCGCTCTATAAATGGAATGTTGTTGTTTGCCCAAATACATAATTATTGATCCAACTTTCACACTGGGAGGACAATGTCAAAGCGCTTCAGGATATGTCGCAGATAATAATAATCATCCTCGGATTTGATTCAGTGCCCGATCACGTCATTGAGATGTCTCAATGCGCTTCACAGCACATACGGTAAAGTGAATTGACGGTGTATTTTGTGGGAGAAGCGCGGCAGTCAGTTTGCGCACAGCGGCGTCCCCACAAACAGTCGTGGATCGAGTGACCCGATCGAGTGATTGTTATTTTTTTTCAAAATGTTTCAAAGTGCTTCGCAGTAAACCACTAAAGTACAGTCACTGTGGATTTTTTGTCGTCTGCAAATGACGACGTTCACTTCATTTCTAATCGGTTATGTTTTGGGAAGAGCTTTGAGATCGCAGCTGCTGTGTGGCCTTTCTATATATTTTACAGTTACTCCTGTGAAGCGCTTTGAGACATTCTGCCTTGATACGGCGCTATACCAAATGAGAATTATTATTAATATTAACGTTCACTTTGCGCCGAGATTGGCAGCAACAACTTACACTTACACAGAGGCCATCACGCACAGTAACATCTCGGAGTGTTCAGAGGTGGGGAATTTCATGCTGAACTGGAAAGATGGAGGGGTGGAGAGGGTGGGGGGGGTACTTTTAATTAAAAATCAATAATAGAGGGTTAGGGTTGGGGGGGTGACCGAAGGTCAAAGAGGAAAGTTTGATCTGAAGATGGGCAAAGAGGGGGCGAGGTTGGGGAATTGAGGCCGAGAGCTCCAGAGATTTGGGGCTCAATGGCTAAAAGCACAGCCACCGATGGTGGAGCGCAGGGGATGAGGGATGTGCAGAAGACCTGAGCCCAGCTGAGCGGAGGGTGTGGGCAGTGGAGTGGGTGGGAGCTGATCAGAAAGGCGGTGTGGAGGGAGGGTCAGGGACCCCATGTGGGGTAGGAAGGACGTCAGGGGATCGAACTGACTGTCTGTGACAGCCTGACACTGTACAATAATAATAATCCTTCCATTTGGTATCGAGCCTTTCGGGAGTCTGTGTCAAAGCGCTTCACACGATATACGATAAAGTGCAGAGACGGTATTTTGTAGCTGAACAGGTAATGAAGTGAGTGATCGCTTTTGTCCGCGGGGATTATCAGCCTGGACACAATTGCGCTGCGGGATCTTTAATGTCCACCTCCCTCTGTGTGATGTAAAAAGCACCAGTTCCTTCCTCACCTTTTGAAGCTGTCTGTGAAGGGCAGCGTCAGCCATCTCCAGGGCATCGTCTTCAGGAATTTCCTCTCCTGCTCCTCCGTCTGGTCCTGTGAGACGTACAGCAGGGCCAGCTGGGCGGCCCGTTCCACATAATACTCATCCAGGAGGCGAGTGGTGAAATCCTTCAGCAGCAGAGAGAAGCACTGGCACTTTGGGCATGAGCCGGAGCCAAAGTACAGGAGCAGCACCTTGTTCCGCAGTTTGCGGACAACCTGCTGCTCTGTGTCCAACTCATCTCGGTCCCTGTTGTTCTGTATCAACGTCCGATCAGCAAAGACGTCGACCATGACGGCTGCCTTTCCCTGTGCTGCTTCTCTGAATAAATCAGATCTGCTCAGTGCGGATTAACGTGCATTAAACTCAGCAAATCTCCTGCTAATGAGGTTCTCCAGGTCAGGCCAAACTCCATTTGGTCAACAATAATACTCCTGGCATGAATGCACCGCCTTATCAAGTCGTTGAGGCGACTCAAAGCCCTTCACAGGATACAGCAAATTACATCTGTAGAGCGCCTTTAACGTCGGGAGGACATCCCAAAGCACTGGGACAGTCAGGGATTTGGACCAAGAGTTTGGCGCACGAAAGCAAATAGATTTGTGCAAAAAAACCAGCTTGCTAAATACTTCTTCTCCGTGATATAACATACACATAAGTACTAAATGCGGCAAATATTAAAATACTTAAGTATACCTGAGTTTTTCTTTGACTGGTTTATCAATGTTTGGTGTAATTGTAGGCAGTGCAATCCTACATCGTGCTCAACATACAGACTATTTTCGCTGACTACAAAGCTGGTTTCACTGCCTAAAATACACTCCATGGAATGTTGCATCTGTAAAGTGTATTTGACTGTGTTTTGTGGGCAGCCAATTGTGCGCAGCAGCGTCCACAAACAGTCGTGGACTGAGTGACCAAATTATTGTTATTTTATTTATTTTTGAAAGGATTATTATCCCCGGAAAGCGATCCACCAATCGACTAACAACCGGGTTCTTACTTACTGCTCGGTGAACAGAGGCGTGCGTGTGGAGCAAGGAAACTCGCCTTACGGGTTCACCCTGGCTGGGGAATCTAACCCAGTTCCTCTCGCTTGTGACCCGAGTGATCTAACCACTGAGCTGCAGGACTCCACGTCAACCAGTTACAGTACCGAAGCTGCTTCGTTCATCCATCCCGGCCTATGCAGATGTCATTTGTCGTTGTTGTTGTTGCAGTTGCTCGCTCATCCACTTTGGTCGGCCACCAGGAGCCTCGCTCGCTTTCTCACTTTACATTTGATACGGCGCCTTTCACTTTAGGAGAATTCTGTACAGGATCTACTGTAAAGTGTAGTGACTCTCTGTTTTGTGGGCGAACGTGGCAGCCATTTTGCACACAGCAACGTCCCGCAAACAGTCGCGAAGTGAATGACTGATTTTTTTTTCTAGCGGGGGTTGGGGGCTGGGGGAGCGTCAGTCAGGATCCTGGGAGAGAGGAGCTCCTTCGGGAACTGCATTTACTACCTGCGCTGGCTTCCCCGCCATCGTCAGGAATCTGCAACGAAGAGGCCGAGTGTTGAGTACAATCTGGGGAGACTCCGCCAACACTGAGATCGTTGTTGTTGCTCAGCCGGGTGCCTGTCACACGCGGAAACCCGTCACCGTGATCAGCCGGGGTGTCTGACACACATGCAAACCCACCACCGGTGCTTAAGAGTCTCCAAACCCAACTGAGAATTCCCCGCATCCCACCCACACCTGGAAATCCCCGAGATAGACTGTTGGTATGGAACGCGCTCTGTCTCTCTCTCTCTCTCCCTGGAGGGACACATCCTGTTACCTAATTCCGGAAAATATTAGGTGCAGGATGATAAGAGCCAAGGCTCGGGGGGGGGGAGCCCAGAGTGTGTGTTGGAGTCTAACTGCACAGCTTGGCCATTGATATCCCGCTGCTTGTCCAGCGAGGACCACCCAACCCATTAGGGCTTTGGCTGCAGTGTGAACAGGAGCTGAGATCTTTTGGCCCGTTCGCTTCTTCCCAAAATCCCAGGAAGCGAGGAAACTCAGGGAAGTAAACTGGTAGCAAAGTCGCTGTATGTCTATGTTCACAACGTGTTGTTGGGTGAGCACACTGGGGGGAAAGGGGGGAAAAGTAATTTGGCGTGCGGGCGCATGGGGTGTGTTTAAGCAAGGGTGAGGGGGCGTTGGTGTCAGCGTACAGGTGTGTGTGTTTGGGGGGTGGGGATAACGTGTCTGTGTGTGGGGGTGGAGGTGAATGTGGGGGTGGTTGGTATGTGTGTGATTGTGGGTGGGTTGGGTGTGTGGGTGTATGTGTGTGGGTGGGAGGGTGTGTTTGTGTTGGGGGGGATAGTTGAGTGGGTGCATTTTGGGGGCAGTATGTGTGTATATCGGGTGTATGTGTGTGTAGGTGTGCGTGGGTGTCTGTGTATGTGTAGGGGGGCTGTATGCGGGGTATGTGTGTGGTGGGGGGGGGGGGGGGGAGTGTGTGTGAGTGAGGGTGTATGTTTGTGTGTGTGGGGTTGGGTGAGTGCGTGTATGTTTGTGTGTGTGGGGTGCGCGCGCATGTGTAGATATGTGTTTGTGTATGTGGTAGGTAGGTGGGTGTCGGGGGTTGTTTTTGGGGTGTGTATGTGTGTCAGGGTGTGTGTGGGTGTGAATGTGTGTCAGGGCGTGTGTGGGTGGGCGCATGTCTGTGTGTGGGTATGTTTGTGTATGGGTGTGTGTGTGTCGGGGTGTGTGTGGGGGTTTGTGTGTGTGGGTGAGTGTGTGGGTGTTGGGAGTAAGAGAGGCAACAGACCGACCACATCTCAAAATACAAAATATTTAGTGGAAACCAAAATATGGTTAAAAAACAAATACTGTATCAGGTCATTAATAAATGTCAACGAGACCCTCCACCCACAGCAACGCTAATGCTTGACAGACGCTGATCAGAAATTGTATGTCATTCTCTAACTCACACCTGTGGCCACGAGCCACACGATAGATTCCATTTGTACAACTAGTTCGGGACTGCTTAACTGGCGGGAGGTTTATACGGGAGCCGTGCTGGTCAAAGCTAGTTAGTAACATTTGAATTGTTGCTTGTGTGTTATTAAAGGATACGGAAGGGCGGAAAAGAGCAGAGATATCGAGTGTTGGCACAGGGGGGGCTGGAATCTCTAATACTCCAAGCTTATGGTTGATGAGGGAGGGAGGGAGGGAGGGAGGGGGAGCCTGAGGTCTCACCCAAACTGATTCCAGCAGTTTTACTCTCTCCGCACTCCCTTCCCTCTCTTAAAAATAGCCTCCGCCTCTTCGGGCTGAAAAGCTGACTGACTTGTGCTGTGCCCAGTGACTGTGCCAACGCTCTCTGAGGGGCCGTGTCCTCTGACAGACGGAAGGGTTAGGGAGCGCAGCCCGTGATCACAACCTTGGAACACTGAGCGAGAGTTCAGACAGCAAACCTCCATTTTAATTGCAAACCATTGGACACTGAGGTTCTCTCCCGAGGCTGAGGTATGCACAGCGCAGTGCTGGGGTGGGTTTATTGTCGGCGACGCCGTACTTCGGGTGAAATGTTAAACTGAAGTCCCACCTGTGCCCTGTTCAGGTGGATGTTAAAGGAAAAGAGAAGGGAGTTTTTTTTCTCTCTCTCTCTCTCTCTCTCCCCAGTGTCCTGGCAGACAATCCCCCAGATAACATCCCTCATTCATGGCTGTTTGTGTCAATTTACACAACAGCGACATCCCACACAGTCACTTCACCTGACAGTGGATCCTGTGAAGTGCTTTGGGACATCCTCCTGATGTGATAAGGCGCCATAACAAATGCAACGCTTATCCTTCTTGTTATTCTATCAGAACTTGTGAAACGTGCTGCACAGTCTCCCTGCCACAGGCTCCGTAACCCGGAGAAACGGGAATGGGATTCCAGATCCCTCGGCCAGACTTCACGGATATCTTTTCCGCCAGTTCCGACCGGCCGTCCACGCTGCCGTTTACGGCAATAAAATAATCTTTGGGTTTGACACAACGCCTCGGCGTATCGTAGCGACGTCTCAAAGCCCTTTCACAGGATTTACTGTGAGGCGGATTGAGTGTGGATTCTGTAGGCTAACACGGCAGCCAACTTGGCAAAGCAACGACCCACAAACAGCCGTGAGGTAATGACCGATTTTTAATCTGCGGGACTGACGGCCTTGGGCGGGGGGGGGGGTTGGGGGATGTAGAGAAAGAGTCACCCAACTCCCCACAGGTTACGGGAGTCAAGGTCCCACTGGTCGTAGTCTCAAGAGTGGAGGAGAAATACAGGAAAGCCCTGGCCATGTGGACACAGCTCTCACAGAGTTCAGAATTAGCCGTATCCGAGAAAAATCCACGACTCATAAATCCCGCCAGTCCCCAGCTCGTCACTGGTTGGTTTTGCCGAGAGCCAGAGCAGAGCGCTTGTTCCCTTTTGTCTATTTTTAATTGATTTAAAATTCGATTCTTGTTCATTTTAAATGTTTCGGGGGTGGGGGGGGGATAGAGTCCTGTAGCTCAGGGGTTAGAGCACTCGCTCTGCAAGTGAGAGACCAGAGTTCAATTCCCGGCAGGTCAGGGCGAGACCTTGGGCAAGTTTCCTTACTCCACACAGAGCCTAATAATAATCCCTTCAAAACCCAAACAATAATAAATTGGTCATTTTCAATCCACGACTGTTTGTGGGACATTGCTGTGCGCAATTGGCTGCCGCGTTCGCCCACAAATACACAGTCAATTCACTTTACAGTATATTCTGTGAAGCGCTTTGGGAACGTCTCGAAGACGTGAAAAGCGCTATATCAAATGCAAGGATTATTATTATTATTTTTTTAAAAAATTCTTTGATATGTTAAATGTAAGGATCAGCCGTTAGCAGGAAACTCCAGCTTGCTGTCGATCCGAATCTCTCTTCCCCCCCATTAGTCCGGTTCCCCTCGGGATTCAGTGTGCTGAGGAATAGGAATTTTAGTGTACAGGGGAGGACAGGACAGGCTGTTACTCTTCCCAGCTGATCTTTTTGAGACCAGGAAAAAACAAGCTTGGGATTGCTCCAGGAATCCCTCAACACTGAAAGCTTGGGAGCGAAGCACTGACAACAAATTGCATTTACACAGCAGCCCTCAGGCAGGGTAGCCCCTCGGGCAGGGTAGCCCCTCGGGCAGGGTAGCCCCTCGGGCAGGGTAGCCCCTCGGGCAGGGTTGCGTCCCAGAGGGCTTGACAGCAACAGAGTGGAGATGCTCTCAGCATATATAAGGCACCTCGCAGCTATAATGCGGGCTGGGCTAAATGACTGATCAAAACCAAACGCTGTATAAAACACGAGAGGACGGGGATTCTCAGAAGGTAAAGGCCTCTCCAATTCCCTCGGCACATCAACACAGGAGCCAAGATAGCGTCCACCCTGGCTCGTGTGTAATTGGCACCTCGGGGGTTAATCGGATTTAGCCCGCCCCACGCACACGCACACACACACACACTCCAGCCAAAACTCCTCAAACCAGCAACACACAGAGCCCCGGCTTCACTGTCGTCGCCCGACTCCGAACACAACGGTTTAACATTACCTGGTGGGGCTCTGTGTGTTGCTGGGAACAGCTTTGCTCAACTCACATAGGGGCACTCACAACTCGTCTCTGGACGAGGCATCCAGTGGGGGATGAGAGGTGTCCAGTGGGGGATGAGAGGTGTCCAGTGGGGGATGAGAGGTGTCCAGGGGGGGATGAGTGGGGCTCAGGGAGGGGTGAGAGGGGCTCAGGGAGGGGTGAGAGGGGCCCAGGTTCTGGGCAGCGTTGCTAATGGTCGCCTGTTCCCTCATCTTCTGTGACTTGGCCCGGTCCCAGTCGGTCTTGCGGTTCTCGTTGTCCCACTCGGTGGAGGTCTCGGTGTCGCTCACGTAACCCGGGTCCCCTGTGTAGTGTGTGGGGAAGATCAGCAGCGGCTCCACAGAGAAGGCCTTGAGGTCCCGTGTCTCAAAATGCTTCATGTACTTGGCTCTGGGGAGGAAATGTACAGCAATAACTATCAAACTGACCTTATAATAATCCTTGCATTTGATACAGAAGTCTCAAAGCGCTTCACAGGATGCACTGTGAAGTGCAGTAACTATATTTTGTGGGCGAAACGCGGCAGCCAATTGCGCACAGCAGTGTCCCGCAAACCGTCGTGGATTCATTTTTTTGGAGGGATTATTACCCCTGGAAAGTGATTCGCCAATCGATTAACAACCGGGTTCCGACTTACTTCTGGGTAAACAGAGGCGTGTGTATGTGTGTGTGGAGTAAGGAAACTTGCCTAAGGTTTCGCCCTGCCCAGGAATCAAACCGGGGTCCTCTCTCTTGCGAGGCGAGTACTCCAACTACTAAATTACAGGATTACCGAGAACACCAGGTTGGTTCGGATGAAGAAGACCCTTCGGCCCATCCAATCTCATCCCACCCTGCAGTGCCCTGGCTGACAATCCTCCCCTGTGCAAACTGCCCATTCACTTCACTGTGTGCAAATTGTCTACCACTTTCGCCTATGAGACAGTGGTTCCTGTAAAGCAGTGAGACATCTTGACGAGGCAATAACTCCATCTTGGAGCCACTTCGCCTCATCCCCTCTCCCTCAATCACCACCGTGTTCAAGGTCCTTCTCAAGATGTTCCTCTATGATCGTACCTTTGGTCATCTTTCCCCTCAATCAGCTCCCGTGGCTTGGGATGAGGGACTTGCAATCCCGGTGTTTGTTTACAGGGTGCCACATAAATGCAAGTTGTTGTTTTATGGTGTTCCCATAATTACGGGATCTTAACGCCCCCAAACCCGAACATGCACCCAGGATGCCTGTGGGTGGGGTGGGAGGTGGGTGGGGAGTGGGGGAAGTCAGACACCAGGACTCTGTGGGAGGTTTGAACACCCGCCCGTCCCCATGGCAACATGTGGCCCAGCCCCCGGGAGCAGGAAACCCGGGCTCGGCCCTTATACAATCCCGGGGTGCTCTTCTGTGAACCCTGGGATTTGGGGAGCACCATTAGTATAGGGGATGGGGAGTCTCAGGACTGCAGTCCCTCCGTCTCGCCCCCTCCCTCACCAGCTTCGAGAACCACCTCTTCGACCGTGCTTTCGATCTCCCTGCTTCGCCCCCCTGCCCTCCACCCTCCCCCAGTTCGGGACCATAACTCTGTCTGTCCAGCATCTTGGGATGTCCTCCCGACGGGAAAGGCGCTGTACACGTGTAATTTTGTTATTGTAACCCTCTCGGGATGACCTCCTGACTGGGAAGGCGCTGTGTGAATTCCTTGAGCATCACGCGCTCCGAGATGCTACAACAACCTGTAATTATATCGCGCCCTTCATACTGGGTGTCTCGGACGCTATATAAATGCAAGTGGTTGTTGTATCAGAGACACGGAGTGTGGCTGTGCGGGCACTACCTACGTCGGATGTTTATTGTACATGACAGGCAGAAACTCGTCCACAGGCAGCAGCTTGGAGAAGGGGTTGGCATTGATGAGTTTCTTCGCTCCTTGCAGGGAGATGACATAGCCCAGAGTCCAGTAGGAATAGTCGGCCTCCACCATGTTCCTCACCCCAGGCACAGGCTTTTCCGGATGATCCACCTGCATCCGCTTCCGACCAATATAACTGTCAGCAACACAGAGAGCAACCAGCTTAGTACACGGGCTTGTGTCAGCTGGGATCAGTGTCTGTGTCAGTGTGTGTGGATCTGTGTGTGTGTGGGGGGGAGGGGGGATCTCAGTGTGTGTGTGGGGGGGGGGGATCTCAGTGTGTGGGGGGGGGAATCTCAGTGTGTGTGTGGGGCAGGGGGATCTCAGTGTGTGGGGGGGGGATCTCAGAGTGTGTGTGGGGCGGGGGGATCTCAGTGTGTGTGTGTGTGGGGAGGGGGTATCTCAGTGTGTGTGTGGGGGGGGGGGATCTCAGTGTGTGTGTGGGGTTGGGGGGGGATCTCAGTGTGTGTGCGTGAGGGGGGTTCTCAGTGTGTGCGTGAGGGGGGGATCTCAGTGTGTGTGTGTGTGTGGGGATCTCAGTGTGTGTGCGTGAGGGGGAGATCTCAGTGTGTGTGTGTGTGTGGGGATCTCAGTGTGTGTGCGTGAGGGGGGAGTTCTCAGTGTGTGTGCCTGAGGGGGGGTTCTCAGTGTGTGTGCGTGAGGGGGGGTTCTCAGTGTGTGTGTGTGGGAGGGGGTGGATCTCAGTGAGTGCGTATGGATCTCAGTGTGTGTGTTATTGGGTGTGAGTGAGCGAGAGCAAATCACACTCCTCAGGTAAGATGTCCTGCAATACTGACTGAGAAGGCTTGGTTTTGTATTGGGACCAAATGATCCTGAGGTAATTCTCTTGTTACTTACATCAGATCCCAGTCCAGACCAGCCTCCTCCACCTCTTTCATCAGGTATATCAACCTCCGCTTGAAGAAGATCTCAAACCTCAAGTCATCCTCAAAGACCACTGACCTCTGTAAGCCTCGCATGACAACCTAAGAAGAAAAGAATAGGAAGAGGAAATCAATACAGATTTACCTTTACACGCAGCAGCGCCTTTCATGTCAGGAGGACGTCCCTAGGTGGTCAACAGTCCTGATTTGACTGAGCTGGGGGTGGAAGCTGCAAGGGGTGGGGTGAGAGGAATAATGACCGAAAGTGCAGACAGGGAGTTAGGTCTTCAACAAGCTGACGGAAGTCGGGATGGGTGGGGGAGATCCTGTAGCTCAGTTAGAGAGCACTTGCCGAGCAAACAAGAGACTTGGGTTCAGTTCTCGGGCAGGGCAAAACATTGGGTAAGTTTCCTTACTCCACACGGCTGTTTACCTAGCAATAAGTAGGAACCCGTTGTTAGTCAGGGTAATAATTCCTTCAAAAAAAAATAATAAATTGGTCACTCAATCCATGACTGTTTGCGGGATTCTGCTGTGTGCAATTTGCTGCTGTATTTCGCTCACAAAATGCAGTCAGTTCACTTTTCAGTATATTCTGTGAAGCGCTTTGAGACGTCCCGAAGACGTGATAAGGCTCTGTGTCAAATACAAGCAATGTTATTATTATTTAGGAGGATTCTGGGACCAGAGGGGGCAGAGCAAAGCGGCTGAAAAACCTCGCCGTTATATTGGGTGGGAGGCATGAAGTGAGCTTGGTGCCTGTCGAGAGAAGTAAATGCAACATACATTTATATAGTGGCTTAATGCGGCTTGTTGCCAATCAACTTTGCGCACACCTCCCCTCCCACTCCCTAATCGTACCCCTCCATTCCGGTTTCCCCCCTGCCCACAGTATAGAGACTGCGCTTGTGAAAGTCACAAACGACATCCTCTCTATCTGTGACCAGGGCTCCCTCTGCCTCCTTGTCCTCTTGGACCCCTCTGCCGCGTTCGACACAGTCAATCACGCCATCCTCCTCCACCGCCTTTCCCTCCGTCATCCAATTCAGTGGGACCGCACTCGCCTGGTTCGAGTCCTACCTCATAAACTGCCAGTAGTACATCTGCACAAACGGCTTCTCCTCCCGCTCTCACCTGGTCACCTGCGGGTACCCCAAGGGTCCATCCTTGGCCCCCTCCTCTTTCTGATCTACATGCTCTCTCTTGGGGATGTCATCCGCAGACATGGGGTATATTTCCACATGTACGAGGACGACACCCAACTCTATTTTTCCACCTTCTTTTCGACCCCCAGTCCCCCGATGTTCTGTCAGCTGCCTGTCAGACCTCAGGGGCTGGATGAGCACAAACTTCCTTCAGCTGAACGTTGACAAGACGGAAGCCATACTCTTTGGCTCTCGTCAACATCTAAAATCTCACGGCTCTCACCTCCTCCACCAACCCGACCTCCCCTGAAACAGTCCAAACCCGTACGCAACCTCGCTGTCAGGTTCGACCCCCAATTATCCTTCCTCCCCCACACCCGGTCCCTCACCAGCACTGCCTTCTTCCACCTCCGACGCATTGTCCGTCTCCGCCAATACCTCTCTCCGAAAGCTGCTGAAACCCTGGTCCATGCGTTTGTCACCTCTCGGCTGGACTACTCTAACGCCCTCCTCGCCGGTCTCCCATCCACTTCCATCCATAAAATCCAGATCATTCAAAACTCTGCCGCCCACATTCTCACCCACAGCAAACTCTGCTCCCCGATCCCCCCAGTCCTGGCCAGACTGCACTGACTGCGTGTCCCAGAGAGGGTCGACTTTACGATCCTCACCCTTGTATTCAAATCCCTCCACTCCTTTGCACCCCCCGACCTCTCTGACCTCCTCTCTCCTCAAAACAGTACCCGTTGCCTTCGTTCCTCCGTGTCTGGCCTCGTCCTCGTCCCCAAGTCCTCCGCTCCACCCTAGGCAGCCGTGCCTTCAGCCACTATGCCCTAAGGCTCAGGAATTCCCTTCCTCACTGCTTTCGCCTCGCCCCCTCTCTTCCTATTTTCAGGTCTCTGCTGAAGATCTTTCTCTTCGACCGCGCCTTTGGTCACTTTCCTCCCCCTCCCCCTCGCTCGGCCCCAGGATCCGCTACTGTGAAGCGCTCTGAGACGCCGTCTGGCGTAGAGGGCGCTATATACATCCAAGTAATCCTGTAGCTCAGTGGTTAGAGCACTCGCTTTGCAAGTGAGACCTGAATTCAATTCCCGGCAGAGGGCGAAACCTTGGGCAAGTTTCCTTACTCCACACAGAGCCTAATAATAATCCCTCCAAAACAAAACAATAATAAATTGGTCATTTTCCATCTACGACTGTTTGTGGGACATTGTTGTGCGCAATTGGCTGCCGCGTTCGCCCACAAATATACAGTCAAATCCACTTTACAGTATATTCTGTAAAGTGCTTTGGGACGTCCTCCCGACGTGAAAAGTGCTATATCAAATGCAAGGATTATTATTATTGTTGTCAATGCTTAAGCGCCCTGGGCCTCTACCCTGCGTGAGGGGAGCTATATAAATGCAAATAGTAGTTATTGTAAAGAGTCTCAAACACTTAAATAGATCAGGATATTGGGGTGGGACAGATCGCTGCAGTAAGAGAGGCTGCAGCTCATCTCTGTGGGGATCGTTTTCAATGCCAAATGGACTGAAGCCAAACCTAAGCTGCCTTTGGACAGATTAGCTGCTCAGCGTGTGAGCAACAGTGAAGCATCCCAGCCAGGCAAGCGGGCAGCCTGACGGAAATTGCAGCGCAGGAAGCCAATAAATAATTACAGAAATTACAGCAATTCATCCCATCAAGTCAACTGTGTCCTCCAGCATGTTCTGACAGGCTGTTACAATCCTCAGCACCACTCTCTCTCTCGCTCTCTCTCCTTACTAGAAGGCAAACAACCAGTGCTGTCAGCTGCTTTCCCCAGTGTACGCAACAACACAACACGCACTGACACCTTTCACATTGTGAGAGCATCCCAAAGTGCTTCAGAGGAATTCACTGTAAAAATGCAGTGACTGTGTGTTTTGCGGAGGCGACCGCGGCAGCCAGGGGGTGAGCGACTGATTTTGTCTGGGGGATCGTCGGCCAGGACACTTCCCTTCTCTTCTGAACAGTGCTGTGGGACGTTTAATGTCTACCTGAAGGACGGCACCTCCGACAACGCAACACCCCCCCCACCCCCACCCCAGCGCTGCACTGGAGCATCAGCTTAGACTGTGTGTGATGCCAAGTCATGACATGAAAAGGTCAAAATACTCACTGGCTGGTCCTAGCTGGACAAGCAGTGCTTTCAATGGCAAACTATGTGGTTTTAGCTGGTTAGACTCCAGCAGTTACCTCAATGCACACTCTGGGCTCCCCCACCCCCCACCCCAAGCCTAATACTTTCCGGAATTAGGTAAACAGGATGCGTCCCTCCAGTGAGAGAGAGAGAGAGAGAGAGAGAGCGCATTCCATTCCGACAATCTATCTCTGGGATTTCCAGGTGTAAGTGGGATGCAGGGAATTCTCAGTTGGGTTTGGAGACTCTTAAGCAGCGGTGATGGGTTTCCGTGTGTGACAGACACCCGGTTGTGCTAATACAAAATTGCCCTCCACTATCCCCAACACGTCACCAAACAATGCAGATACATCCCGAGGAAAACAGCCCCGCTCACCACTGCCTGTAGCCCCCCACAACAGCCCCGCTCACCACTGCCTGCAGCCCCCACAACAGCCCCGCTCACCACTGCCTGCAGCCCCCCACAACAGCCCCGCTCACCACTGCCTGCAGCCCCCCACAACAGCCCCGCTCACCACTGCCTGTAGCCCCCCACAACAGCCCCGCTCACCACTGCCTGCAGCCTCCCACAACAGCCCCGCTCACCACTGCCTGCAGCCCCCACAACAGCCCGCTCACCACTGCCTGCAGCCCCCCACAACAGCCCCGCTCACCACTGCCTTTGCTCACCAGCTCCTCAACACGGCCACTCACCTCCTTCCACACCTTGTGGTGACTGAGGAAACAGCCCAGCTCCCCCTTGGTCAGGGGTCGCCCCGAGTACGGGTCCTCGTAATCCGACATCATAACGATACCCAGACCCTGGACCTGGCTGGAGTTCAGCGCCCTGGAGCAGGGGAGGGGAGGAGAGGAGCCTTAACTCACAATGACAATAACAATCTCTACATTCAGTGTATGTAGCACCTTTAATGTGGGGAGGCTGTCTCACAGAGTATAACAATAATCCTTGCATTTGACATAGCACCTTATCACATCATTGAGACGTCTCAAAGCTTTTCACAGAATATACTGTAAGGTGTAGTGACTGTGTATTTTGTGGGAGTAACGCAGCAGCCATTGTGCACAGCAGAGTCACCACAAACAGTCGTGGAGTGAGCGACCAATTTTATTTGGGGGTCTGTCGGCCAGGACACCAGGGAGAGAAACTCCCTTCTCTTTTCGAACAGCGCTCGGGGAACTTTACATCCACCTGTACAGGGCACAGACAGGAGCTCAGTTTGACGTCGGGGGTGGGGGCGGCATCTCTGACAATGTGGTTCCAATTCCTGAGGTGGGGGTTTGAACCGACAACCTTTGGATTCAGAGACGAGAGTTCCTCTCTCTGTTGCTGACAATAACATCAGTTGGAGGGAGGGCAGGTGGGGGTCCTGTCCAGCTGAGCCTGTTAGGGTGGGGTGCATACGTTTATGTGAGCGTGTGGGGGTAGGAGGGAACATCAAGCTAAAGGTTCAACAACAACAACAAGATTTGTATAGCGCCTTTCACGTCGGGAGGACATCCCAAAGCGCTGGACAGTGACAGCGTTTCACACTCGAGCTTGGGTCAGGGGGGGAAAAGGGAGGGGAGGGGAAGGTGGGGGTTGGCCGATGGCATGGTTGAAGAGGAGGGTCTTGAGGCGGGACTTGAAGGAGGCTAAGGAGGGGGGGGAGGCGGAGTGATTGTGGGATGGAATTCCAGAGGTTGGGGGCAGAGTGGCTGAAGGCTCTCCGCCAATGGTGGGGCGGGTGGGTCGGGGATGTGGAGCAGCCGGAACCGGCTGAGCGGAGGGCACGGGCGGGTTGGTAGGAGGTCTCAGAGGTAGGTTGGGGCGAGGCCATGGAGGGCTTTGTAGGTGAAGACCAGGATCTTGAACTCGATCCTCTGAAGGACAGGGAGCCATTGGAGTTGGGCGAGAGTGGGGGAGATGGGGTCACGGAGTTTGGTGCGGGAGAGGACACGGGCTGCAGAGTTCTGGATTATCTGCAGCCTGTGGAGGGAGGGGTTGGGAAGGCCAACAAGCAGAGCGTTTGCATAGTCGAGCCTGGAGGTGATGAAGGCATGAACAAGAGTTTCAGCCGCCTGAGGGGTGAGGTAGTGGCGGAGTCGGGCGATGTTACGGAGGTGAGGGAAGGCAGAGCGGGTCATGGCTTGGATATGGGGAAGAAAACAGTTGAGGGTCGAACAAGACACCCAGGTTCCTGACTGGCTTTGGTGAGTTGTAGTGAGCAACCATGGAGGTTGATGCTGCAAGAGCCTGAGGGCCAATCAGGAGGGCCTCAGTCTTGTTCACACTCAACTGTAGGAAATTTGCCCTCATCCAGGACTTGATGTCCGACAGACAGTCTGTCAGGACAGCAGTGGTCCTGGAGTTGAAGGTGGAGGTAGAAAGATAGAGTTGGGTGTCATCCGCATACATGTGGAAGTTGACCCCATGTCTGCGGATGATGTCACCAAGGGGGACATGTAGATATTAAAGAGGAGAGGGCCAAGGACAGACCCCTGGGGGACGCCAGATGTGACAGTGCGGGGGCTGGAGGAGAAACCGTTAGAGGCGACAAAATGGAGAAGGTGAGAGAGATAGGAATCGAACCAGGCAAAGGCAGGTACGTGAAGATTAAGTAGAGGAGAGGCGGTGTATGAGGATGGAGTGGTCGACAGTGTCGAGAGAGGTCGAGGAGGACAAGGAGGCAGAGGGAGCCCTGATCACAGATGTTCAGAATGTCATTAGTGACTTTGACCAGGGCTGTTTCCGTGCTGTGGGGAGCGTGGAAGTCGGATTGGAGGGGTTCAAAGAGGAAATGGCGAGAGAGAGAAAGGAGCGGAGCTGGGACGCGACGATTCTTTCCAAGACCTTGGAGAGGAATGGGAGGTTAGAGATGGGGTGGCAGCTGGAGAGAAGAGATGGGTCCAGGGAAGGTTTTTTCAAGATGGGGGTGATGACGGCTGTTTTTAGGGGTGTGGGAATTGAACTGGTGGACAAGGAGAGGTTGATGACATCAGACAGGAAGAGGGGCCAGAAGGTGGAGCTGGGAGATGAGGAAAGAGGTGGGGATGAGATCGAGGGAGCAGGTGGTGGGTTTGAGTTTGCGGACAGTCGTGGTGAGGGAGGAGGGAGAGACAGGGTTGAAGAAGTATAGGGGGGTGGGTCATGAGGGAGAGGTGATGTGGGGGTGGCTGTGGACGGGGCTGAGGTGGCTGAACGTATCCCCTCGATTTTGGATCTGAGGAAGTCCAGCATCTCCTCACAGTTGGAGTTTGAGGAGAGGATGGGCGAGGTATGGGAAGGTGGACGAAGGAGACGGTGTGTGGTGGAAAAGAGAAGCCTTGGGTTGTCCTTTGCCTCCAAGATAACCTTGGAGTAGAAGGAGGATTTGGTGGAGGCAAGAGCGCAGCAGTAGATCTTGGTGTGGTGAAGCCAAATCTGACGATGGACCGTTAGTTTGGATTTGGTCCAGGCGCGTTCGGCAGCTCGCACTTGTGCCTTGAGAAAACGGTTCATGCATCATCAACGTACCGGCCATCAACAGCATCCACGATTTTACACGCGATCTCCTGCTCGTATAGTGTACGAAGCATCTGTGCCCTCCGGTCCGCCCGGCGCTTCAGGTTAATCAGAAAGACCTGTAGGCCAGAGAGTGGGGGGGGGGGGGAAAGCTTAGATTAAACAGGGGAAGAAATGCATCAGATTTTTGGAGGTCTGACATATACGCACGGTCACCTCATCGCTGTGCGAACTGTATCCAACCCATACACAGTATCCACTCTCCCTCTCTCTCTCTCTCTCTCACACCTCCCCTTCTCCCCCCCCACCCCTCCCTCCCTCCCACTCACTCTCTTTTTCCCCACCATGTCCCTCCCCCACTCCTCTCTTCCCCACCTCCCTCTCCTCTCTCCCCCACCGCCCCCCCCCTCTCCCCACCGCCCCCCCCTCTCCCCCACCGTCCCCCCTCTCCCCCACCGTCCCCCCCTCTCCCCCACCGTCCCCCCTCTCCCCCACCGTCCCCCCCTCCCCCACCGTCCCCCCACTCACAGAGGGACACACCCTATTTACTTAATCCCACAGTATCAAGCACCGTTTGGCGAGAGCCAAGTTTGGGGAGCCCAGAGTGTGCACTTCAGCCTCAGAACATTGTTCCCCAAAAACATTCGCAAGAAGCGATGAAGATTTATAACCGTACCTCATCAAAGCCCATCTTGTCAGGGTGCTTTGGAGCCAAATATACGTACTTTGAAGGCATCATCGGAGGGTGATTTACTAAAGAGAGTAAAACATTGTGTTGGAACGTTCACTGACCTCTCGTGTCAGGTTCACACAAACAGCAGCCACCTGAGTCTCGTGTCTGGGCCAGAAGGCACCACTGGCTCCCCACCCCCCGCGGGTCGAGTTAAAAATCCCCTTCTCGCCTTTAAATACCCTCCAGTCTCACCCCCACCCCCTCTGTGACTTCCTTAAACCCTTCTGAACTGGCCGTTCCCTTCGCTAAGCGGGTTCTGGCCTACTTCAGGCCCCCCTCCCAACCCGTCCTACCCACCCCACCATCAGCGGTCGGGCTTTCAGCCTACTTACCCCTACAGCACAGTGTTTAAAGCACTCGCCTCGCAGGCGAGAGGACCAGGGTTCGATTCCCAGGCCGCTTCAATAAACTGAAGCTCTCCCAACAATGCTCTGTGGCAGTGAGTAAACCAAACCATATATATCAAAAGACCAACAGCAAACCAAAACAAGTGGGGTAATCCTGCCCCTGGATAAACCATTGGTGAGATCGTACTTAGAGACTGTGTACAGTTCTGGTCGCCGCAGTACAAAAACGATATTGAAGAAATCGAGAAGATACAGAGGAGGGCAACCAAAATGATTGAAGGAATGGAAGGACTGGACTATGAGGAGCAACTAAGTAAATTGGGCATGTTCACGCTGGAAAAGAGAAGATTGAGTGAGCAAATAGTGAACCTGTGGAATAGGCTTCCTACAGAGGCGGTTGAAGCACAAAGTGTTGATTCTTTCATACACAGATTAGATAGTTTTCTTTTAGAAAATAACATTATGGGATAGAGCACATAGGGAGTTTGGGACATATATGCACGTGACCACCAGGAAGGTGGAAAGCAAACTAGATGGACCTTGGTGTTTTTTGGTCTCGTGTTTCTTATGTTGTTAGGGCAGAACCTTAGTCAAGTTTACTTATTCCACCCATCCACACACACACGCCCACCCATCTGTTTACCACGCAGTAAGTAGGAAACCAGTTGTTAATCGATTGGTGGATCGTTTTCTGGCAGTATTAATCACTTCAAAATAAATAACTAAATAATTTATTATGATAATATATAATTATATAGTCAATTCACTTTACAGTATATTCTGCGATGCGCTTTGAGACATCTTGAAGACATGATAAGGCACTATATCAAATGCAAGGATTATTATTACTACTACTACACTCTGTCTCTCGCTCCCTCCCTCACGTTCTTGAAAGTCTCTGTCAAGACCTTCCACTTTGACTTAAAATGCTCTGAGACGCCATCCGGCGTGGAGGGTGCTATATAAATCCAAATTGTTGTTGTTGTTGTTGTTGACTGCGCTTTCGGTCATTTTTCCCCCCACTGTCAAGCCGGGGCCTTGGGATGGTGTGTAAATGTAAACTTGTTTGTGTTGTAAAGTTGTGGGGTCAAGCTCACGGCTGACATTGCGGTGTGCAGCGCAGTGGCGGCGAGAGAGGAGGTGCCATCCTTTCAGGTGAGATGTTAAACCAAGGTCCCACCAGCGCCTAGTCCCAGACAGGCATTAAAGTCGGGTTCTCAGCACAGGGTACCAGAACAAACCGACTGAACCAGGCGTTCACCTCATGGCAGTTTCTGGGAAATTATGACAATAATAATATTATTCGAGTCCCATAACATTACTGGTTAGAGCACTCGCCTCACAAGCCATAGGACGTGGGTTCGTTTTCCAGGCAGGGCAAAATCTTAGGCAAGTTTCCTTAGGCAGTAAGGACACTTGGCTAAGGTTTCACCGTGCCCGGGAATCAAATCCGCGTCATCTCGCTTGGGAGGCGAGCACTCTAACCACTAACACTACACGACTCTCATACTTGACGTGTGCAGAAACACCTGCAGTGTTTGCCTGTAAGAAACGCTTGCAACAGTTGACGCTAAGTAACTTGTCAGCGTTTGCAGTGATCAGGCGCTCATAAATGCCAATCCTTTCTTACTTACTCATTGCCTCCAACTGAACGTGAGTAAAGCTCTCCACGTCGTCCTGCATTGTGCTCAGAGGCTTCACCGGAACCTGGAGGAACCCGAAGTGTTCCTTGTTACTCAGGTACATCTGCACTCCTGGAAGGAAAGCCACATTCAGTTCAAGTGGTTCTCGCATAGAGGCGCAGGCACACGTACACACACACAGATGGACAGGCAGAGGCGCGCACACACGCAGACGGACAGGCAGAGGCACACAGACGGGCAGGCAGAGGCGCACGCCTACACACACATACACACATGTGCGCGGAAAGGCAGAGGCGCGCACACACGCAGACGGACAGGCAGAGGCGCGCACACAGGCAGACGGACAGGCAGAGGCGCGCACACACGCAGACGGACAGGCAGAGGCGCGCACACACACACGTGCGCGGACAGGCAGAGGCGCGCACACACGCAGACGGACAGGCAGAGGCGCACGTGCACACACACACGCGCACGCGGAAAGGCACACACACACGCGCGCAGACGGACAGGCAGAGGCGCGCACACACACAATGGACAGGCAGTGGCACACACACACACGCAGACGGACAGGCAGTGGCACACGCAGACAGAAAGGCATACACACGCAGACAGACAGACATACACACAAGGCAGGCAGACACCAAACCGACAGACAGAGACACACAGACCGACAGACAGAGACCGACAGACAGAGACACACACCGATAGACAGACAGAGACACACACCCAGGCAGGCAGGCAGGCAGGCAGACAGAGACAGGCACACACACCGACAGACAGACAGACAGAGAAACACACAGAGCGACAGACACACAGAGCGACACACACACACACAGACACACACACACAGAGAGAGACACACACACACAGAGAGTGACACACACACACAGAGAGAGAGAGACACACAGAGAGACACAGAGAGAGAGACACAAAGAGAGAGACACAGAGAGAGAGACACACAAACTTCTCTCAGGGTGGAACCTGATGGACTGGTAGCTGGAGCCCGGGGGTTGGTTTCCCCCTCCCTGGGGGGGGGGGGGGGGGAAGCATAGGATGATTTATCCTCCCTTGGGGCGGGGGCTGGGGATGGAGGAGCATCTCACCTGCCCGTCTGCAGGAGTAAGCGAATACGATGATGTCGTCGAAGGCCCAGGTGTAGTCGGGGTGTGGCGGGTAGAAAGCCAGGTTCTGCGAGGCTTCCTTCCTCAGGTCAATGAGCAGCGTAGAGTGAGCCATCACCACCGGGAACACACCAATTCGCTCTCGCTTCCGCATGGGCACGTACGCTGGGGTCCGCTTATAGTAACCCTGCAACCACAGCACACGTTTACACCGGCCGACAATCCCCCCCCCCCTCACCCGCAAATAAAATTACTCGGTCACTTCATGGCCGTTTGCGGGATGTGAGGCTGTGCGCAAAATTGGCAGCTGCGTTCGAGCACAAAATACACAGTTCACTACGCTTTAATAATAATACTTGCGTTTGATAAAGCACGTTATCACGTCTTCCAGACGTCTCAAAGCGCTTCTCAGAAATATACTGGAAAGTGAATTGACTGTATATTTTGTGGGTGAAACGCGGCAACCAATTGCGCACAGCAGCGTCCCCCTACACACAAACAGTCGTGGATTGAGTGACCAAATTATTATTATTTAATTTTGAAGGAATTACTACCCCCCCAGAAAAGCCATCCGCCAATCGACTAACAGCCTACTGACTGCTGGGTACACAGAGGCACGTGGAGTATTAAAACTTGCCCAATGTTTCGCCCGTCAGGAATCTAACCCAGATCTCTCGTTTGCAGGGCGATTGCTCTAATCACTGAGCTACAGGACTCCTCTCCACTCCACAGTAAATCCATCCATCTCCTGACGTGAGGATTATTATTATTAACACTTATATTTGCGCTGCGTCTTTCACACTGGGCGTCCAAGCTGGTTAGGTAAGAGCCGAGGGGGTGAAGGGTGGGGAGGGGGCGGGAAAGATGATTGAAAGTCCAGTCAGAGAGGAAGGACTTGAGACAGAGTTTGAACGAGGTGAGGGAGGGAGGGAGTTGGAGGGGTTCTGGGATGGAGTGCCAGAGAGTGGGATGGGGGGGCAGATAGACTGATAGTCTGGCCGCTCACAAAACACACAGTCACTCCACTTTACAGCTTAGCGCTGGTGGCTCACAGCACAGGAGGCAGCCAAACCTATGAAAGGCTTTGTCACGTCCTTCCTAGACTTTTCCTACACTCTCCTCACCAGTCTCCCCTCGCTCCGCCATTCACAAGCTGCAACCCATCCCCAAACTCCGCCACCCACATCCTCACGCACCATCAACCCAGCCCTCACCAGGCTCCGTTGGCTCTCTGTCCCCCCCAACGGATCGACCTCAAGATCCTCACTCTCACCTATTGATCTGTCCACTCTCTGGCACTTCTGATTTCCCCCTGCCCAACTACTCCACTCGGCTAACTCGGACTCCCCAGCCCTCTCCATGTCACTATCAGTGTCCTACACCCTACGCCCCTCCTTCTGCAAGTCTCAGCTCAAATCCTACCTCTTTGAACGTGCCTACGGCCAAAGGCCTTGCCTCTCTTGCTTGTTGAGGATCCAAGCCAGACATTGTAAAACACCACTACACATGAAATTCGACCTGTACATGTAAGCTGCTCACCTCAGAGGTCATCCCACACCAGAAGTTTGAATAGGCCGAGCGGGAGTCCAGCATTGGAGCGATCACAGTCTTGTTCTCAGCGATGAGCAGGTTCAGGGTGTCCACGTTAGTCAGTACGTTATCGGCATCCACAAACTTCAGGGTAAAGACACAGAATCATAGTTAGCTTGCTGTAGTACGTTGAATAATAATTATAATTACAATACGCACTTGCACAGCGCCTTTCATGCTGGGAGGACATCCCGCGGAGCTTAACAAACAACTCCCACAAACAGGTATGAAGTGAATGACTATTGTTTCTAGATTCCTGTAGCGTAGTGGTTAGAGCGCTCACCTCGCAAGCGAGAGGACCCGAGTTTGACTCCCCAGCGGGGCAAAACCTTTAGGCAAGTTTCCTTACTCCACACGCCTCTGTTACTAGCAGTAAATAGGAACCCGATTGATTGGCGGATCACTTTCTAAAGGTAATAGTCCCTCAAAAACGCAATTGTTCACTCAATCAATGACTGTTTGTGGAACAGTTCTGTGCGCAATTGGCTGCCGCGGTTCACTTACAAAATCCAAACAATTCACTTTGCAGTATATTTCTGTGAAGCGCTTTAATAATAATAATAATAATAATCCTTGCATTTGATATAGCGCTTTTCACGTCGGGAGGACGTCCCAAAGCGCTTCACAGAACACACTGTAAAGTGAATTGACTGTATATTTGTGGGCGAACGCGGCAGCCAATTGCACACAGCAATGTCCCACAAACAGTCGTAGATTGAAAATGACCAATTTATTATTGTTTTTGGTTTTGGAGGATTATTATTAGGCTCTGTGTGGAGTAAGGAAACTCGCCCGAGGTTTGGCCCTCTGCCTGGAATTGAACTCAGGTCTCTCACTTGCAAAGCGAGTGCTCTAACCCCTGAGCTACAGGACTCCAGACTTTGAGATGTCTCAACGATACGATAAAGCACGATATCAAATGCAAGGGTTATTATTATTACTCGAGCAGAGAGCCCACCAGAGTGAGCTGGGAACGGAGTGAGGCCTCAAGAATAGCAATTTTAGTGAGAGTGGGAATTCGGTGTAGAGGGGAAGGAGGGGATTTAACAGTCAGGTGGAGGTGCTCATATATATTAAAAATATTCTGGGACTATGGCAGGACAGCTGAGACCTGTTGCAGCAGATTGTGTGCCATGTGGGACCTCCAGGATACTTCACTTGTCCTTAGAGTTAAGGAGCAGAAAGTGCCTCCAGCTGCTTCAGCTCAGGGTTTCGAAGAGAGCTGCAGTGCAAACGGGGGCTGAAGCCTTTATCGATCGTATGTTTCAGGAGGTGGTCACCCCACAGCCACGGAGGGTTCAGGAGGAGAGCGAATGAGTGACCACCCGGCATGGTGGGAAGAGGAGACAGACTGTGCAGAAGTCCCCCGGGAGTGTGGCACTTGCAAACTGCTTTTCTGTGCTGAATACCAGCGAGGGTGATGACACCTCAGGGGAGAGCAATCTTAGACTGATCCACGACGCAGTGCGGCAAACCACTCCACAGGGAAGAGTGCCAATGCTATTGTTATTTGGGATTCAACAGTCAGACGGCTAGACAGGCAACCGCAGACGTGAGTCTCGCTTGGTGTGTTGCCTCCCTGATGCGAAGGTGGAGGACGTCATTGGAACAGGTGCAGAAAATTCTGTGGGGGCGGGAAACAGCCAAGTAGGGTTATTGGAACCAATGACACAGCAACAGAAGAGAAAGACGCAGAAAAAAAACAAAACTGAATGAAGCAATGAAGGAATTAACAAAAGAAAGACACGGAAATAAAGGAATTAAAAGAGAGGAAAGATAAAATAATAACTCAGCTTACGGAAGGCCTGTTTGAAATGCAGCAAGGCCTGAAAAGAAGCGTAGGTGAAAGCAAAGAGTTGGAGGAGGAATTATTCAGGATGGAAGATGTGTGTGAGAACCAGGAGAGAAAGATAATGGAACTGACTTCCACTCTACATATACAACAGGGAGAAATAAGCAGAGCTGGGATAGAGAGAGAATAGCACGAAGAAAGGAGAATAGCGCTGCGGGATGGTCAGAAGAAGTGTGAGGTTATGAGCATCAAGTTGAATGTGGCTAAGGGAGCAGTTAACACCTTGATTAACCGGCCATCAGCCACTGAGACAGACCACACTCAGTGTGAGAGAGAAATAGAGAAACTGAAGGAGATGCTGATAGGCAAGCAGGCAATGGTATGCACCACCGCGTTAAAACGGCAATAGATGAAATATATTCGGACATGCGTGAGGAAGAATCAGGAAAGTCAGTAGCGGTCATCGCTACTACTCAGAGCCGGGTTCACCCAATGCGTACAAGGAGCCAGGGGACCGAAGGGGAAAACGAGGCACACGCAACCTCCGGTAGTAACACAGGCAGCGCGGATGATAGAGAAGAGATACACAGTCGGGCTTTGAGACCCGAAGAGGTAGCAGCATATGTGAAAGAATTTGGGACTATCAGTGAAAATACCTGTCCCACAGAATTGAGCCAGCGCTATGATTTGTTCAGGGATTTGTTCTTCCGAATTAGAAGAACGAGATCTCAGGAGGATATTGTTAGGTAGCCTTGAGATTAGAATGAGAACTTGCCTACCGAGGGACAGCCTGAACCAGAAGTGGGGGGCACAATTTCTTTTGACTGCTGTAAAAACTGCTCTCAGAAGAGGAAAGGCATGGGATATAAGTAGGGAATATGGAATGACGGTACAGGGAGAGAGAGAGAGAGAGAGCCCATCTGTGTTTCATGAAATTGGTAGAATTGTATAAGCAGAAAGTATAGAATCGAGAGATGCAGAAGGGTCGGCCACATATCGAGAGATATTTTTGCAAAAATTATCTCCTGAGATTGAGGCAGCGCTATGGGGATCGGTGGCAACAGCAACACCATGGACAGATCTAATAAGGATAGCTGATGAGGTATACTATCGAAGTATGAGACAAAGAAACTTCAAAGCGTCTGAAGTAAAAGCAGCTCAAATAAAAGAATTGTATGTCGAAGAAGTTGAGGGACAGAGTAGGGGTAAAGGTAGAGAGCGAACAATAGAGGGGGAGGAAGACCGGCACCACCCGATTATAAAAACAACCGAAATCAGCCAAAAGATATTCCGACAACCGACTGGCCTGTTTCCTGTGCAAAAAAGCCATCTTTTATTGGGCATTCTCTTGCCCATCTTTTATTTGGGCAAGCGAATGCCCAAATAAAAGATGGCCAATTACAGTGTCGTCTATCTCGTTAGACAGGCTCGCAAACATTCCCTTCGACCAGCTGGAAAGTATGATTACAACCTGGAGGGCGACAAATAATGTTTAGAAGGACTGTGAGAAGAATACCAGAAACGTCGAGACTGTAAGCCCCTGCGCCCCACCCTTAGAGGGGGATGTGAACATCGTAGAGTCATCTTACTGACTCTCAAAAGCCCCCCAACCCACCGGTAATACTGGTGTGGTAAGGGATACTACACTTGAAAATTTGATGCCTATTAATTTCTGGAGAACTACGGATACCGACATTGTTTGTGACTGCCGCCTTGTCGGGGGCGAATCACAAACAATGTTGGTAGACACAGGGTCTAATATCACGCTTTTCCATTCCAAACATTCTGAAACGTTTCCAGGGACGACAGGCGAGTCGTTTTCCCTAACTGGTTTCAATGGACCGAGGCAAGAAGGGATCAGACTAACCAATTCCTCCCTCAAATTCGGGGACAACATTATTCAGGTAGCGCAACCAGCGGTGATGATGATGCCGAGAGAGAGAGGCATTTTAGGATCCGATGTCCTCCAAAAGAATGCTGTGGAAGTCGATTACACCAATTCGTGTTTATTGATTCTCCACAAAAAATGTTTCCCAATGAGAACAGCCACCATGTAATATCCCATGTTTTTGCCATCATGGTTATAAAAAAAACCCAGAGGTTTATGAACCGATAAGCCGCCCTAAACAATAAAATCACTGAATTAGTAAGAAGATACGATAAAGTTATTGCACGTCATAAATATGATTGTGGCAGATTGATGAGCGAGGAGGTTACAAATGGACCAACTCATTCTCCTGCCAAGCAGCACCCCGTTCCAAAAGAAAGCCTCCCGTACGTTCGTGATACCGTAAGGTCCTTACTTGATCACGGGGTTATACGAGCAGGTACTTTCACCACTAACTCTCCTGTAAGGAAACCAGATGGGACATGGCGGTTGACCATTGATTATGGAAAGCTTAATTCCAGTAAAAAGAGACGATCAATTTAAATTCGCTTTTACCTTCGATGGACAACAATTTACGTGGCAATGCTTTCCGCAAGGGTTTCACAATTCTACAATTTTTCACAAGCGAATGGTGGAATTCCTAAGAGACTGTGACATACTGGATGAGTCAGCAGTGTTACAATACGTGGACGATATCTTAATCACTTCGGCTAGAGAAGTGGAGCGTTTGGAATTACTGGACTCTGCACTGAAAAAACTTTTGATTGCAGGGTTAAAAATTAACCCTCGTAAAGCCCAGCTGCTACAACCGTCCGTCAACCTTTTAGGAATTATTCTCTCCCATGACGGACGATCCCCAGACTCTTGTAAAGTGGTCATTGTGGCCTCCCAGTACCAGTGACTAAAACAGCGCTGTGATCCTTTTTGGGCTTGGTCGGGTATCAGAGAAACTTTATTCCCCGATTTGCGGAGATCACCAAACCACTATATAACTTGTTGTCTGGGATAAATCATGAAGTACAAGGAGAAATGGATTGAGGCTCACACTGAAGCGGTCACGCTGCTAAAACAAGCGATTATGCAAACCACTTGCCTCATATCACCCAACCCCAACCTCCTGTTTCATCTGGAGGTATCAGCAACGTCGGATAGTTTGTCAGCAGTATTGGCTCAAGAGCATCAGGGGTCAATGAGCCCGATAGCCTACGCCTCTCGACTGCTCACGGGAGTCGAAGAGTCGCCTGCGAAAAACACCTTTTGGCCATCTTTTGGGAGGTGAAACATTTCACATACATAACCGGCCTACAACAGATAGTCCTACATAATCCACATACCCCATTGAGCCTTTTGATGAAGCCTGGAGATAAGTTGGTATCCTCGCAACAGTTAAACCATTGGACTCTC